AAGAGCAGCTCCAAAATGTGCAGCAAATACAGGCCACAGCTGGCGCATTTGCGGCGATCTTGGCCGACAGATCAGTGGTTTGCTGTGGCAATCCACACTGCGGTGGTGACTGCTCCGCAGTTCAGGATCAGCTCACGGATGTGCAGCAAATTCAGCGGACACATTGGGCATTTGCCGCGATCTTGGCCGATGGATCAGTGGTTACGTGGGGCAGTCCAGACAAAGGTGGTGACTGCTCGGTGGTTCAAGATCAGCTCACCAATGTGCAACAAATTCAGGCCACACATCGAGCATTTGCTGCAATCTTGGCTGATGGATCAGTGGTTGCCTGGGGCAATCCAGACTTTGGTGGTAACTGCTCCTCAATTCAAGAGCAGCTCCAAAATGTGCAGCAAGTGCAGTCCACTCGAGCTGGCGCTTTTGCCGCGATCTTAGCCGACGGATCAGTGGTTGCGTGGGGCAATCGACACCACGGTGGTGACTGCTCGACCATTCACAGTCATCTCCAGTATTTGTAGACATTGGAGGTCATTGGAGCATGTGCACCTGGGGATGGGCCATGGGATTAACTAACTGATTAGTAACTGGGGATTAACTAACCCTCTATATCCCAATGAAATAATCCATGGCTATTATACTAACTAGTTAACTAACTCCATGGCCCATCTAAGCAGGATTGCCTCCACTGTGGCCATCAGAGTCGCAGGTGGAATTTGGAAAACAGCTCTGTGGTGCTCGGAAACTCTCTCTCCACTGGGAGGAAACTCTCCAGTGAACCTCTTGGTTGGGGCACATGGGCAAGTTATAGACGCATGTAGCGGAGATATCCTGCGTAAATCCAACAGGCAAGCTGTGCAGCCAACTTCATCAAGCGTTCACTGGGGCGCCAACTTGCAAGGTAATTTATTCCAGAACATATCCCCATGATATCCCCAATAAACGATTGGATTTACATGGAAATACATCCAATAACTTTGCTTAAGTCCCCAATTATAGTTGTAGATCCCATCAGATCACCATTTCTGTTGGTAAAAGCCTATGACATCACCAAAATTGTTGGTGAGATTTCATCAAATGACAATGTTTGCTGGTAAAATCACAATTTCTGTTGGTACATATCATGTAAAATGGCATGTTTTCTTGTTGGTTCAATCAGCCCTTACAATGTGGGTCCCCCCCCAGTGATGTAAGCTGGTTTGTAAACCCCAGTAAGTAATTATACGGTTATAGTTATTTGCGTACCATAAACCATAGTGACATTGGAGTTCTGTTCATTGACTTAGCTATCGTAAACGAGGCCCCACTTTGTAGTTATAAGTTATAATTAATCATCATAATTATAATCAATTATAGTATCATTAACTATATGATTGACATGGATTGATTAATTAAGATTGATTAAGAACAACATCAATAGCAGCCATCACCCAGATGCTCCATGGTGCTGGAAGATTTACCTACATTTACCCCTTAAAAATAGCTCAGCTATGTAGGTAAATATACCAGCATGGAGCATCTGGGTATATCCAATTATCATTTACAGACATTTACCAATTATTAAGGATCATTATAACCAATAGAATACCAATAGAATACCAATAGTTAACCATTAGTAACTGGGGATTTGTTACCCTCTATATCCCAATGAAATAATCCATTTACTAACTAGTTTTCCCCAACTCCATGGCCCATCTGAGTATGGGACTTTTTTTGGGGAGAATTGGCTGATTTGATGAGAATTTGTAAAGTGGATCTTGATGCGATGCTGGGGCGGAAATTGATCTTGATTTCCGGGAATTTGTACTTAGATGGGCCATGGAGTTAGTTAACTAGTTAGTAGCCATGGATTATTTCATTGGGATTTTTTGAGGGTAACAAATCCCCAGCTACTAACCAGGAATCGTTAATCCCATGGCCCATCTAAGTAGTATTGATCACCCGGCTTCGAAAAAGCGTCGAGCACGATCCGCGTCCGGAGGCTCCTTGCTGCAGCGATTTCAAGTCTTGGTCCACGAAGCCGGTCTCAGCTGACGTCCCTCGGAGTGCCAAAAGGGGCCGGCATGGAAAGCTGTTTGGATTTGAGCCATCGGAGCCATGCAGTTATGGCCCAAAATACCAGTTGTAAGTACTTATAACCCCATTTATAGAATGTATAATCCCACTTATAACCAGTTATAACTGATAAATGGCCATAACTGTGGTGAATTTCACCAGGAAAACAGCCATGGGAGATTTTAGCCATCGCATTTACCTAAATGATTGATGATTTTGATTGATGATTTATAGATGATAGCTGTTTGTTGGAAGAAAGTTCAGCTTTTGTGGCTTATGGTTTACGGTAGATATATGTTTGCAAGTTGATGGGCTTATAAACCAACTTCATGGAATTGGGATAACAGGAATGGGATAATGATGATTTTTTTTGACCAAAGTTATGGTGATTTTTTGTTGGTTCTTAATGGCCAGGACAAAAACATAGGGATTTTGTTTACCACCACTGTGATCTGACCGGGTCGGGGTCTGTCTGAACACGGGATATACCCCCAGTTATGATCTGCCTTTCATGGTGCAGATCGTGACTAATTATCACATGGATACCCTGCAGTTATGGCCCTTTACCAGTTAGAAGTACTTATAACCCCATTTATAGAATGTACAATCCCACTTATAACCAGTTATAACTGATAAATGGCCATAACTGTGGGACTGAATTGACCATTTCTCTTGAAAATTCACTCATTGAGAAAACAATACTAACATACCCTCTGGTTATGTCAAAATAGCTATTGAAAATGGCCATTTATAGTGGATTTTCCCATTGAAAACGGTGATTTTCCATAGTTATGTTAGTTTACCAGAGGGTACATATTTGATTAAAATTCACCATGATTCTTGGATTTGTCGAAAACTTACAAGTATAAAAACACGGAAACCATATGTTCAGGTGTCTCAATTGCTTCTCGTTTCTGGAGGATTTTTCAGGAATATAAATTATAGCGAATTTCCATTGGATTCCATTGGGATTTCGTGGGATTTTGGGTCAATTTGATCTATGACCGTCTATGACCTCAAAAGGCTCTGCTTAGATGGGCCATGGGATTAACAAACTGGTTAGTAGCTGGGGATATAACCCTCTATATCCCAATTATAATCCATTTACTAACTAGTTAACTAACTCCATGGCCCATCTAAGTGGGGTTGGAATGGTTGAGCAACGAGGAGGCTGAATGCGGGGGAATGGATCCACACTTTTGATGTGTCTTTACAATGTGGGCCCCCAAACGTTATAATTTGGTTTATAAAGCCTATTAACTATATAGTGCCGGACAAATACTTAGAGCATCATTTGGAAACAAACAAATAAGCCTTCACAGCGGGGATGTTCTAAGTATCACTTGGAACTTAGAATATCAGAAAAAAAACATATACTTAGAACATATCCAACATATATACTTAGAACATCCCAGGGGGAACCTTTTTGGGAACCTTTTGAATATAGATGTTCGAAGGGTTTGTCCCGCAGAGATACCAAAAACACTATGTGTGGACCGTTTTAGTTCATTTTACATACCCTCTGGTAAACATACAAAAGCTATTGAAAATTACCATGTATAGTGGATTTACCCATTGAAAATGGTGGTTTTCCATAGTTATGTTAGTTTACCAGAGGGTAGTATTGAAACCTATGCTTTTGGGCTACCTCCAGTAGTAACCTACAAATTACCAGAGACCAGCACCCCATTGCAGCAAAGACTGCTTGGGATGTTGTTCCGGAAGAAAAGGCAATGTTTTTCAGCAGCAGTGAAGGGAGAACGTGTTCTAAGTGTGGTGTTCACAAAGGTATTTGTGTGTACACATGCAGAATTACAAAATTCAATGGAATGTTCTAAGTGTATGGTCTTTGATATGTTCTAAGTATGCAAAAATCAATGGAGATGTTCTAAGTATGTGTCCTCTCGATGTTCTAAGTTCGCACTTAGAACATTTTCCCATGTTCTAAGTATAGTGTCCATTTATGTTCTAAGTAAGGGGTTGAACAAATTGGAAACATGATGTTCTAAGTATTTGCCCGTTATCATAGTAATTTGCGTATTATAAACCATATGCATAGTTATTGGAGTTATGTTCACCAACTTAGCTATCGTAAACGGAGGCCTCACCTTGTAAGGTTCTTTGAGTACATAGGTCACTTTTCACTGGCAGATGGGGGATAATTAAATATAATTAATGGAGGAGATATTGTCAAGAAAATCCTGCTAGAAGTTCCATGATGGATTGCTCAATCTTGGTCACAGGTCAAGCACCGGTAGAAGTTAACCAAATATGGATTCAGGTCACCCAGGATGGTTTCTCACTGCTACGTCCTCTCAAGATCCAGACCCGAAGGGATTGAAGCTGCAGCTGTTCCCGATTTTCTTTGCTTGGACGGGTTTCTCATCGCAATAGAATTTCTGGTTGGTGGTTTGGAACATGTTTTGTTTTTCCATATAATTATTGGGAATAATAATCCCAACTGACTTTCATATTTTTCAGAGGGGTAGGGCTCAACCACCAACCAATCATATGTTCTCGACATAGACATCCAATATTCATAGAATTGGATGATGGGGAAATTTACAGGAAACCCCTATATTTGATGGTAAAAACCATGGTTTCCTGTAGATTTTCCCTCAAACCAATCCATTGAAATATTGCAGATCCTCGGGGGTTCCGGTTCCTGTTCATTCCATTCGTCGATTCACTTCCTAAACTTTGCTTCCTGTTGAAGCTATGAATAGCGGCTTCCGACTTTCACCGGGTCAGAAGACCCTCTGGTAATGACTAACGTAGCGAACTGGAAAATCACCATGTTTAATGGGAAAACTCACTATTTCTATGGCCATTTTCAATAGCTATTTGTATGTTTATCAGAGGGTAATCTTTAAAACTCACCAAGCTATGATTTGATCAACCGTTGGCCCCATTGAAAGCATCATTTTCTCAGCCAAAATCGCATGGAAATTCATCGGTTGGTTGAATTTCATTATAGTGGTATATATGGTATATATTTCAAGTAACAATCCCAATGATTATTCCCTCTATATATATATATATATATGGTATATATGAATAATAATCCCAACTGACTTTCACTATATATATACATATACCTATATATATATTTATATATATATATACATATACACCATATATACCATATATACATATATACCATTATATTGGTTGGAACGGCTCAACCACCAACCTGCTTCATTAAGGCCGTCCACGGCGCAAAAAACGGTTGCGCGCGCGCCAGTTTTTGAGCGAGTCGAGACAGGGCGACGGTGAGTTGTGCAATATTTTGCCATGGTTTCAATGGATGCAACATGGGATAACTATGTCGGCGAATAACTGGTTGGTGGTTTGGAACATTTGGATTATTTTTCCCATCATATTGGGAATGTCATCATCCCAACTGACGAACTCCATCATTTTTCAGAGGGGTAGGTATACCACCAGCCAGATAATATGGAGATAATCCCATGTAATCCGATGTAATTGGGAGACTGATCCGGGATCATAGGGGGGTAGCAAGAATGAGGATGAGCCCAACATGGCCATGGGCAAACGGACAAAACAATGCATGGACAAAGTCAGAAGTCAATTCAAGTGAAATATGGTGAACCGTTTATAATACTTCCCACTGCGAATATTAGGGATGGTTCACTACTGGGTATACTATACCACATGAGTTGGTTCGAATATGTTTCAATTGAGGAATTTCTGATCTGCGTTTCTTCCCAAAGGTTTATAACTTTAATAAGTAGGACTTATGGTAGATATATCTACAGTATTCATGGGATTATAAATCAACAAACATAACGTTTGGGGGCACCACCTTGTACATAACTGGCTCATTTATGGGGTAAATGTATGTAAATGTTGGGATTCATATTCCAGCACCATGGTTCGCATATGGGAATTAGATATAAAAATTACTGCCACAGCTTGCAAGGTGGTTAAGATATGTTTAAAAATATGTAAAACTATGCCTTGATATTTGATTGTCAGTAGAAAAGTGAAACATCCTGCAAACCATCAGCCCAAAAACGCCTCATCCATTAAAGCCAAACTCGCAAGAACCCTAGGGCAAACTAATATCGGTGGGGAAAAACACCATTTCTAGATCATGTTACAAAGGGAAACCATGTTTTTTCAATGGCCATTTCAGGAACCTAAATTGGAGGTACCTACCATACATAATGCCTATATAAGGCCTATGCCCTTATATAGTACAGTACCTCCATTTTAGGATCCTGACATTCCCATTGATTTTGTTTCCCACACTTCTGTTAGTTCATCCTGAAAATGCCTTTGGTGTGAGGTGTTCAATGCCCTACAACTTTCTCTGCCGCCTTTTGCAGCCTCTGGCAGTAGCAGCACCGATCAAGACCAGATTACTATATAGGTAGATACAGTTGTGGCCCGAAATACCAGTTATAAGTACTAAGAAGTCACCCCATTTATTGAATGTATAATCCCACTGAAATAACCAGTTATAACTGATAAATGGCCATAAGCGAGGCACAAAAAAAACATGGAGTCTCTCCACGTCTGATCGGGTTGACATTATTTCAGAAAATTCATCCCCGAGCCGAAGAAAAATGTGGCCTGTCAGCGGAATGCCCAGATATAACCGTGAAAGGTTTGATGTTTTGCCAAGCAACTGATTTCGAAGATCTTCGACCTCGAGATCAAGATCAATATGAATTTATGTGTTCTTAATGATTTCGAAGAAAAACTCTATAAAGCCATGAAAAAACCTCTAAAAACCATCAAGCCGCTAGCCATTGATCCATATCCGTGGGGTTTTCAGCACAGCACTGCCGATTTTAATCTATCCAGCTTTCTCAGCGTTCGAGAGCCCGGTTTCGGGGATGGCAGGGATGGTTTATAGATGTTTATAGTGGGAAAATCCCAATCTACCTTCTGGTTATTTAACATAGCCATGGAAAATGGCCCATTTATAGATGGTTTACCTATTAAAAATGGTGATTTTCTATGGCTATGTTACACATAACCAGATGGTAAAACTTGGATTTGCCGAGTCGATAAGTCGATGATTGGGCATCTTTTCTCCATGGGAAATTCACGAAAACGACTGGGGAATCGATGTTGGGGGAATTATGAAAATTGGCTTTTTTTCGTGGTTCCAAAAAGGCAAACCCATGAAAATTTGGATGATCATTTTTCGGTAGTACCCCCTAAATGGAAACCTCTAGGAATATTGGTAACATCTTTGTTTTTTTTTTAAACATGTTTTGTTGGTCAAATCGAAATCATGGTTATTCCTGGTGACATCGCCATGACATCCCCCAAAACTCTTCCATAGTGGGCCCCCCCAGTTCTGTTTGTTGCTTTACAACCCCATCTTGCTATAGATATATCCATTGTATCTTCCATAAACCCTCATGAAAACCATAATTATAGTTATCTTCACCAACTTAGCTCTCCATAAATCATCATAAATTATAAACCATGGATGGTTGCAAAATCCTGCACCACCTGGGGATGGTAGAAAGCCTTTAAATAGTGGAATGTTTACAACCGTTTTCATCTGGTGCAGGATTTCGCAACCATCCACAGTATGGCTGGTTGGTGGTTTGGAACATTTGGATTATTTTTCCCATCATATTGGGAATGGAATAATCATCCCAACTGACGAACTCCATCATTTTTTCAGAGGGGTACAGTTATGGCCATTTATCAGTTATAACTGGTTATAAGTGGGAATATACATTCTATAAATGGGGTTTTGTTAGTACTTATAACTGGTAAAGGGCCATAACTGTAGGTATACCACCAACCAGGCTATTGTAGTCATAAAGCGAACGCTATTGATCCAGGGGCACCGGTTTTACACCGCTGGGCGAAGCCAGAGGTGACCTGGCAATGACTAAGGGCGCCAAGCAGGACGGCGCTCCGTCCAACGGTAGGAAATCAGGAAATCCATGGCAAAATCCTGGGAAAATCCTATGTGGGCCCCCCCGTTTACGATAGCGTTCAGTTTGTGCAAATAACTCCAATGTCACTATGAATTATGGATATTTATGGTACTTACAACTATAGTTAATGGGTTTTATAAAGCAACCAACATACCTGGGAGGGCCCACAATTTAGATCAATGATGGAACACATGGGGAAATCATGGGAACATCTCCGAAAATCTCCGAACTCAAGGGAGGTTGATGGCTGGGAAGATCATCGAAGTGAGATAAGAATGGGATTGAACCGACAACAAAGATGATTGAATAGGATACGGTGGAATGATGGGGATATGGGATTTGACCAACAAAATTGTGGTGATGATGATGATGATGATGGTGATTTCAACTAGTCTTGCGTTATTATCCTGATTTTCTCACTGTTGTCCCATTATTGTCTAATTGTTCTCCCAAACTTGTCCAATGATCATTCCATTATATTCCATGATTGTCCCAGGATTATCCCATTATTATCCCATTGTTAAACCATTATCCTGGGTTTGTTTAAGGTTATTGTTTATGTTCCCAATGGAAAATTCACCATTTGGGGAATCTATAGTGAATATTTTTTATTTTTTGGGCGGCCCCTTAAGCAAATCCAAGTTATGAAACCATTACTATACCACTACTATACCATACTATACCATATTATTATGAAACCACTCCAAGTTATTAAACCATTATTATTATACCATTATTATCCCATTGTGGTCCCTTTATTGTCCCTTAAAATCCTGGGCGTCCCAGGGTCTTTTTTCCCTGCTAGGATGACGTGCACCATAATGGCAGTGGGGGGACTCAGAGGACTCAGATGGGCCATGGATGGCCATGGGAATAACGCGATTCCTGGGATATATATAAATATATAATATATATAATATAATATATATATATGTCTATATATATATATGTATGTATGTAGATGGTAACTTTTTGGTGACAGATGTTTGGTTAGTAAAGGTTAATAGTGGTTAATAGTGGTTAATAGTGGTTAATAGTGGTTAGTATACTGTTTAAGCATGGGTTAAACCATGTTAAACCTATCCCGGATCAGCTCCAAGTTCTTCCCACACTGAGACTGTATGGATGGAGTGTTTTTGTGGTGTAAAGACCTTCGAATTGAGGGTATAACTGGAGCGCTAATGATCGGATCATCATACCAATACCAACCATGAGAGGAATCATCCCGTCCCACAATGAGATACTCAACTACAAGTCGTGGGGCCCCCCGTTTACGATAGCTAAGTTGGTGCAAATAACTCCAATGTCACTAGATGATGTATGGATATTGATATATTCATGGTACTTATCACATCTTATCACTATAGTTAATGGGAATGGGGTTTATAAACCAACTTACATCACTGGGGGGACCCACATTCTTGGGGGCCCCACATTGTAATCGGATAATGGGAACATCTCCAGGCTGAGAAAAGGGCTTTTTCACATGTGCCAGTTAGACGGTCACCCCAGCGCCCCATTTTTTCAGCGAACGAATGGAGATTCCCATCAATGGGAATTCCAGGATCCTAAAATGGAGGTACTGTACCATATAAGGCCATATTTTGGGGGGATGTCCCCTTACAAAAGCCTTGTATAGGCCTTATATATGGTAGGTACCTCCAATCAATCGGATCCTGAAATTCCCATTGATCCCATGCAGAGACATGAGAGATGGAGCTGGTCGATGTTTCCGATTCGTCAAGGGTTTCCCCAGTTTTCATCCTGTCATTATTAGATCATGACCTATGAAAAACCATGCTGATTTGGGGATCACCCATGACTTCTCAGAACCCCCATATAGGTTCTATAGTCGTCTGTTTCCGTCGTCACGAATGATGAAATCAGTCAAAAAGACCAAACACCAAACACATCCCGCAGAGAAAAGTCGACAGAGATTGAACATACCGTGCGTTCCGGTAGATTGTGTCCCAGCCTACTAGGAAAAATGAAAAAGATCTATCAGTATTTGATCAAGATCATCTGGTTGGTGGTTTGGAACATGAATTTTATTTTTCCCATCATATTGGGAAGAATAATCCCAACTGACGAACTCTCATTTTTCAGAGGGGTAGGTATACCACCAACCAGTCATATATTCCCAGCATGTCCGAATTATTTCCCTATTCTGCACCCCTAAAATTGAGCCTGTCACCCCAGGGGTCTGAGCGACGATTCTACCGATTATATAGTTTCAATGACCGTTTAATCGTCATCTAGCCATTTAGACATATTATATAATATATTTGTAAAGATGTAAATCAATAAATAAAGCATGACACTATCTTAAATCAAATTTAATCAAAGATCCAGCAATTTCCCGCAAAACAAGATCAAATCCCTATTTTAAATCCCATAGATCAAGATCAATTTCCGGCCAAACCAGCATGCCATACATCTCAACTTTCCCAACATCAATTCTCATAAAATCAGCCAATTCTCCCCCAAAAAGTACCATACATCAAGATCATCAAGCTATTCTCCATACATCATCAACTTTCACATTTCTTCAACGTAGATCCACCTAGCTATTGCGGAAAAGCTTCAGCCCACCACGCCAAACCGGCCTTCTCCTCGAGCCAGGTGCGGTGTCCGTTTTGGCAGTGTCCTGCGGCATCCTCTTAGCCGGGCGTCTGTCTTTGGAGACCTTGATGTGGATGGGCCGCTGGGAATGGACCGGTTGGGGTGGCAGTTGGGTGTGATTTTGTTGTGGCTACGGATGGTGGCAGTTGGGGTGAGAATATCTAGTGGTTATATGATGGTTACAACTTATATAGCTCATGGTCATGGTCGCTTCTTATGGGAGAGATCCCTTCAAACTATGGTAATTTAATCGATGGTATATGTTGGATGGTTAGGGTGTACTGGGTTTTATGATTAGGGTATCTATTTATTATAAGTCTATATTATATAGCCCGTCTCAGTAGTCCATATGCCGAATTTGCTTTAGATAAATGATGGATAATTCATAGTGGATTGTATTAGCCATTATATATGCAATGTGCCCCCAAACGATAGCTAAGTTTGTGCAGATAACTTCAAAAACTGTGGGACTATAGGCTTTATGGTATTTATAACTTATAACTGGTTGGTGGTTTGGAACATGACTTTTATTTTTCCATATATTGGGAATGTCATCATCCCAACTGACGAACTTATATTTTTCAGAGGGGTGGGTCAACCACCAACCAGATAACTACAGTATAGTACAATGTGGGGCCCCCCAGTGATGTTTGTTGGTTTATAAACCCCATGAATACTATAGTTATTTACGTACCATAAACCATAGTGAAATTGGAGTTAAATAGCCCCCAACTGAACGCTATCGACTGGGGGCCCCACGACTTGTATTCACGGGGCTTATAAACCACCTGTATTCATGGGGGGCACCAGGTCGCTGTTTTTTTTTTCATACTAGGGGGGTTGTAAACCAGAAAAATGATCCCCAGTCCTAAGTCACCAGGCGGCTTTCAATACTCGATCTAATGACTGGATGACTCTGGGGTACGCCCATGCTGGTTAGGAAACCTTTGTATATGGATAGATCTTGGTTGATTGGTGAGGTGTTTTTAAATTCTTTCCGCAACATAAAAGCGAGTTTTAGGGCCTGCGATTCGGCGATTCGCTACTATCCATCAAACACATAGAAATGAGGCTTGGGATGCGGGTTTAGCTGCAAACAACTATTTGAAATATGAAGCTTACAGCCTGATTTTTTCACCAGATGGGAATGTGAGGAAGAACATCGAGCATGAACCAAGAATGATGCGGCTCACCGCATAAATTGTGAGTCATCCTAGCTACCCGGCCTGGTAAACATACAAACAGCGACATGGAAAATGGCCATAGAAATAGTTGATCTACCCATGAAACATGGTGATTTGTCATAGTTTTTTGTAAACGTTTACCAGGCCGGGTATCCATGATGACCCTCCTGTAAAGCAACACAGATGGTGAGTCCATGGGACAATCAACACTCCTTGATGAAGATTGATGAAGGGCCGAATTTTGGATAGGAAGTGTCAAAGTTAATATCCGACTTGGAGGGTCATCCCACTTAATACATATATATATATATTAGATATATTAGATATATACTATATACTATATATTATATATGATATTATATTATATATATGTTTTAAAAGTGCTTATAGTGCGTGCTTTTTTTTTTTCCAGCCGCTTTTAAATGGGCAAAAAACATGGCTAGGCTGATCAGGAGTCCACCTTCCAGATGGGATGATCTTCCCATTCTTCGCAGGAAGTTCAGCCCCATTTATGCGGTGGTTTGGAACATGGAAAACCATAGGAAAACCATAGGATCTGGTTGGTGGTTTGGAACATTTTTTGTTATTTTTCCATTCAGTTGGAAATGTCATGATCCCAACTGACGAACTCCATCATTTTTCAGAGGGGTTGAAACCACCAAACAGCATAAGTAACCAGTATTGAGCCCTAAAATTGAGCCTGGAACCCCAGGGGTCTGAGAGATGATTCTACCGATATAGCTTCAATGACCGTTTAATAGTCATCTACTAGCCATTTAGACATATGTATAAAGATGTACTATTAAACTATGGATATGGATGGATATAGTATGATACAGTTATATAAAGCCATTCATTTTTCATAGTTTTCCCATATCCATCCATATCCCAAAAGGTCGCGTTCAGTTGGTTTTTAAATAACTCCAATTTCACGTTTGGACTTATGGTAGATATATCGAACTAGTTGCCATGGGATTATAAACCAACGTTCACATAACATCCATATATAACTATGAATCCATATCCCATATCCCATTAATCTATCCCATATCCACAACTATATAAACCATAGCTACATGGCAGTGTGTCAAAACCTTGTACCCCTGTAGTTCACATCAAAATATCTGGGATTCATGGATGTTCATTCCCCTAAAAATGGTATGTTCATAGGTATTGATCTATACCCATATAACATCATATAACTATATCCATATCCCATATATCCCATTAATCTATCCCATATCCATAACATTCCATAACTATATAAACCATAGCTATATCCATCCATATCCCATGGTTCCATCCTGAAATGTCCCAGTGGCCCAGGCTGCATCTCCATCTCCAGAAAGACGGCTTTGACGCTCGCGGCCTTGGCCTCCCTCAGCTATGCTCCTTGGTTTCACTGGTGGATTTCTCCCAGAAATGGTGGCTGCAGTTATGGCCATGGCTATCAGTTATAACTGGTTATTTCAGTGGGATTATACATTCTATAAATGGGGTGACTTCTTAGTACTTAGAACTGGTATTTCGGGCCATAACTGTGGGATAAACATCAGGAAAAAGATCTTCGGATTTCGCATTTTTGCAAGGGAGACCCTCTGGTAATGTCAAAATGGCTATTGAAAAATGGTGATTTAGAGTGGATTTTCCAATTAAATATGGTGATTTTCCATAGTTATGTTAGTTTACCAGAGGGTAGAATAATTAAAATATATTAAAATCAAGGATTTAAGCCACCAAAACTATGGGTTTTGATAAGTTTTGACGGGTGTTGAATGGGATTCAATTGGAGTATGTAAGGGCGAACCCGCGCTTTATTTCTATTTTTTGCGAAGGGGTTTTATCATGTTTAATCAATACCATCCTTGTCGGTGTACCATGGTGTACCGTCCGGGAGGGGAACGTGGCAATAGAGAATCGCATTTTGAACCTATTTTCCCATTAAAGCATGGAAAACCATAGGAAAACCATAGGAAAACCATAGGAAAACCATAGGAAAACCATAGGATCTGGTTGGTGGTTTGGATTTTTGTTTTTTTTTCATATGTTGGGAATAATGATCCCAACTGACGAACTCCATCATTTTTCAGAGGGGTAGGTATACCACCAACCAGATTCTCAATTGCCACCTTTGATTGCTGTGGGTGGGTCGTAAGGGGTGAGTTCACTTTCTGGTTCCGGTCGAAATCAGGATAGCAGTGGTTCATGTTCATTGATTGCCCATGAAAAACCAACTACATCTAAGCACCACTCAAGTACATATATATATATATATAGTATGTATGCTTTGTCTTATACCACAGTTTCCATAAGTTTGTCGGTTGAATCAGAATGAAATCATCATGAGGCTTCCGTGAAACACTAATGTTGCTTGGTTAAATCACATTATATATACTGTGTATATATATATATATAGAATTATATAGATCCTTTCAACGCCAATTAAAATCCATCAAATCTCTTCATGATGGGCTGTATCCGCCATAAATCACAAGGATGTTTGTTTCAACGCCCTGAGGTAATTTGTGGTCCAGTGCTACAGAAAACGCCGCTCACCAATCGACTCGGTTCGGGCTGCTCAACGGCTGGGTTGTGAGTCTTTGGAGGACTAAACAAGGTGGTGCCCCCCCAGTTATAAGTTGGTTTATAATCCCATTAACTATAGATACATCTACCATAAGTCCTAGTTATTAGTGTTATAAACCAACTTAGCTATCTTGGGGGCACCACCTTGTGGGGAAAACCTGTGATTTGACCAAGAAAAAATGGATGTTTGAGTTTTTTGCCTTGCGAAGGTGTGGATTTCAGCAGCATGATGTGTGATTTATGCATGGAAATTGGGATTTGAAGCTTGCGAAGATTGAGGTTCTACTAGCATTTCGATTGGCTGAGGAATACTGAAGAATTCACCAGCGCCGGCAGAGTTCTCGAGGATTTCAGCAAAATATGGAGATGTTAAACATGTCAAACATGTTAAACACATTGAAACGAGCGGAACTCAAGAAATGTTGGACTTATGGATGAGTCGTGTTTGGCTCTTCCAACATGGGATTGGAACATCCCCAATTTCAACAGCATGGGTGATCTCTGGTGTTTCTTTCTTGTTTCGGAGCTGATTCCATGATTATTCCAAGATACATATTCCAAGAACAAAAAATGTCAGGGACGTATTTGTAGAAACTCATCTCGGTCAACCTAGTCATGTCTACTTTAAATTATAAATGGGCACAAAAAGAATACATGAACCCTGATATATTACAGACTGGTTTCTAAATACCCTGAGATTGATATATGACATGGCCAATTCTTATTGTGGATGGAAGTGGATAGAAGAATTCTTGCACCACCTTGGATGATTGAAACCCTATAAACAATGGGATGTTTACCACCGTTTTCAACTGGTGCGGGACTTCGCAACCATCCACAGTAGGACCCTGACTAACCAAAGAAGAACGCTTGGCTATACCCATTGATGTCGACGCGACGCGAGGGCACTTGCTAGTGGAACGTGTCTTGAATGCCCGGCAGAACTGGGAGTCTGGAGCTCGGTTCAGCTGTCATCTAGGGTCAATCCTTTAGTCTTTTGGTATCAATACGAGTATCTACGTTCACCAGCTAAAAAAATGTGATTTTTTGCAGGGTATCTGGCTGATTGGCCATGTCATCGTCAATAAGCCTGCCTCATAGCAGCCCCCCAAAAATACAACTAGGATAGCAAGATCATCTAAAATAGTGAGTTATCTTAGGAGATCACTAGGAGAATCATCTCATTTGGTAAGAGGTGAATCAGTGGGGTGTAGAACCCAGAAGTGTCCAGAAGTGGTTATAACCCGACTTAGAGGACTTATTAACCAGGGTGATTGAGACTGCAGTACCCGCAAAAGTGCAGAGTTCTGAATGGTACAGTCCCAAATCAGCAACAGTTTCAAAAAGGTTCCATGGTTTCCATAGAAATTACTATATATATATACATATTATATATATATACTTTTCCCTTAAATGTGTTCTTAGTAAACAAACGTTACATTTGCTGTCACGATTTTCCACCGTTTTCAAGCGGCTTAAAACACAGCGTTTGTTCCTTCCGAGGATGGACACCCTTCGAAGCTTCTGCGAAGTTTCCATTTGGCTCTTGGTGGTGTGGTCCACCTATGCCTGGACACCCAGCTTCGAAAAATAGTGAAGCTGGATGAAGCATGGGTTGATGGATATTATATTATAAATACATAACGTGTATACTGTATATATATATACATATATATATATTGGATATTATATAAATATATATATACCTGTATCCTCGAAAAAGCACAAATAAATGCTCGTTTGCGAGATTTCTGCTTTTTGAGCGGTTTTTCTCCACATGAGCGTAATTGCACCACTTTTGGCATTTTTGCACTTGGTGCATTTTAAAGCCAAAAATATGAGCGTATTTTCCCGGGAAATAAGCGTAAATACCCGGGAAAAAAGCGTAAATGCCCGTCCGTCAAGAAACAAATGCGCGTTTTCTAGTTCAAGTGAGCATAAAAAGTCAGAACGAGCGTAAATCCAAGTGAAAACTGCTATGAGCAGAAAAAAGTGCTAAGTGAAGATCCAGGTATAACGTGTATATACTGTATATATATATATATATACATATGTATATATATATATATATTGCTATATATATATATATATATTACATGCATACTATATTAGTATGTGTTTAGACATGAAAAAATACAAAAGCAACCAAACATTGTTTGACACTATGATACATCAAATTTCTTGATTGAACATATACAAGCAACTTTATCAGGGACGATTACCTATAGAAGCATCATTTGCAACGGTTTCTAATGCTTTCCAACTCGTGTAGGTATTGTTTTATCCACTAGTATGTAGTTCTATAATGTTCTATATAGATACCCAATTACCAATATTATTTCATGTTATTCCGAGTTATAATATGTATATATATATATACATGCATATTTGGATGAATTACAATGACCTCACGTCACCGGAATGAGAATTGGAGGGAAACCTCCATTCAGATCAAAAAAAAAAACTTGAAATAAGGTAAGAGTCACGGTAAGAGTCACGGTGGCATTCGGATTCGGATTCGCATCGGCATAGCTTGACGCTGGACAGCCTGGGTTTGGCGCCAGCACCTTCATCTCGAGTCTCTGCTTCCGTGGCGGTCATGCGACCGTGTGGGGATGGCTTTGATCTGAGTTTCTGCAGTTATGGCCATTTATCAGTTATAACTGGTTATAAGTGGGATTATACATTCTATAAATGGGGTTTTGTTAGTACTTACAACTGGTAAAGGGCCATAACTGTGTGGTTCCTTTCTGTTGCGCTGTTTGTTTCGTATTTCGTCCTGAATTAGGACTCGGGTACCTGACGTCGTCGGGCCGAGTGCCAAGACGGGTGGCCTTATTCCAGGTATTTTGAGGTTTGTATACAATGTGGGCCCCCCCAGTGATGTGAACGTTGGTTTATAAACCCCATTAACTATAGTATACTATAGTTATATCTACAATAAACCATATAGTTCTTGGAATTATAAACCAACTGAACGCTATCTTCGGGGCCCCACATCGTATATAGTCTAATTCAGCCAGATGATCTATGTGGGATTATGAACTGTGCCAGTTTTAGTCACATAGAACGATTCATCCCTAGTGCTCCAAATACCCTCTGAAGGTGTTTAGAACCCAAAAAGAAGCTCCATCCATACAGTCTCAGTGTCGGTGTTTGGAGCTGTAGGGCATATTTACGCACTTACACGTGTTAAACTGCCCCCAGTGTGCTTAGTTGGGCCATGGAGTTAGTGAAAACTAGTTAGTAAATGGATTATAATTGGGATTTTTTGAGGGTTAGTTAATCCCCAGTTACTAACCAACCAGTTAGTTAATCCCATGGCCTATCTAAGTGTATCATGGGCTCATTTGCCTCATCATGGGCGCCGATTCAACGGATGCAGTCAAGCGTCCGGAAAATGTGGTGACGGCTTCTGAGATAAATTGATGTATAAGTATCTGGTTGGTGCTTTGGAACATGAATGGATTATGACTTTCCATGGGAAATATATTTATATTCCCATTTGACTAATATTGTTCAGAGGGGTTGAAACCACCAACCAGGTATGTTAGAACTTAGTCTGTTGCTATACATGGGGATATACAAACTGAGTGCCCATTGGATGTTGGATGAACATCCATGCACCAACTATTCTAGGGTCCCTAGGCTCCCTAGGGTCCCTAGGGTCCCTAGGTTTTGACTCATAGCCATATATACCCTCCAGTAGATTAACATAGAGCCTGCCATTTATCGCGGTTGGAAAATCTAATTTCCACTAAGAACTGGTGATTTTCAGGGTCCAACTGTTAATTTACCAGAGGGTATATCCACATAATTCCCATTGAATTCCCATTAAATCCCATTAAGTCCCATTAAATCACCATTAAATATGATAATATCAACCTGGATTTGTGGTGCCCTGGATTTTTTGGACTTTCTCCTTGGTTTCTGTATTGATCAAGCCGCAGGTCGCCGGCCTCCAGGTTTTTTGAAACGATTCGGAATGGATGGTGTATGACATATATGGATGATAAATATATGGATGGTGTATGATCTATATGATGGATGGTGTATGATCTATATGATCCATATATATATATACCCATGATGCTGGTATGGTACAATGTGATTAGTTAGGGCGTAATGCCATGAAATAAACTATTGTCATCCTGTAACTAACATCCTGCTAAATAGGATGTTGGAAGATGAGTTTCCTCCAGAAGAACTGTTGTTTTTTTTCAGCGCCAAACTGTGGTACTGTACCCTCCAGTAAACTAACATAACTATGGAACTTGGCCATTTATAGTTGACTTTCCCATTAAAAATTGCCATTTTCAATAGCTATGTTAAATTACCAGAGGGTAACTACTGTTGACCCATAACTCATGACCAATGAAATGGCCATAATTCCCATAAAACATGACCATGATTCTTAAATCTCATTAAATCATCGTTGGTTAGACTAACATAGCTATGGAAAATGGCCCATTTATAGTGGATTTACCCATTGGAAATTGTGATTTTCCATATATATATATATATATAACCTGGTTGGTGGTTTGGAACATGAATTTTATTTTTCCATATTTTTGGAATAATGATCCCAACTGACTTTCATGTTTTTCAGAGGGATTGAAACCACCAACTAGGTCATCGTTGGTTAAATTGTTAAACTGCATTAAATAACAATTTTCCTGCAAGGTGAGGCCCCCCAGTTATAAGTTGGTTTGGTTTTACCATGTTTTACCCACTACTTCGATATGTCCCCTATAAACCATAGTTCTTCTAGGGAACTAAACAAACTTTGCCTACTTAGCTGACTAATCCTCATGAAAGTCCATTTAAAACCAGTCTAAATTCCATTAAATATCATTAAATGATATTTTTTTGTTAGTGAAATCCCGCATAATTTCACGCAACTTAGCTATCATAAATCAGTTTTACATCCAATTCATTCCTCATTTTTCTTTGTTTAAAATTTACATGTTCCTATGATTTCCCATGCTTTTTCCAAGGTTTCCGCCGGAAAACTCCAACTTCTAAACCCACCTAAGCCGCAGGAATTGGCATTTCGCCAGTTCATGGGTCACCCAACTTTTCGAAAACGTCTCTGAGGTCGGCACAGGTGGATGCTTTGGCTTGATTGCCGCCCTGACCCTGGGCACTGCTGCAGGCCGGCGCTATCCCAAAAGATGCCGAGTTTCGGTGTGCAACCAGGATATTTACCACAAGGTGTCCAGGTTTCTCACTTGTTCGATCTTTTTTGGGGTTACTTATATTTAATAATATTCAATAGGGTTTTTGACATATGTAAACTATAACTAAATGGGGGTATCAGTGGATAGAACTGATGAATGATGGTTGATGAGGGGTCACGACCTTCAAAAGATAGGGTCGTATGGTGGTTTCATGGGATTTATATAATCGTATTCTTCATGGTTTATATCCTACACTATCGATATCCGATGCAACATCCGGTACCCTATGATATATGTATTACCTCTGGTAATTTAACCATTTGGGATTGAAAATTAAATACTCGAACAAGTATAGATGGCCCATGATGGCCCATTTTAGTTCGATGATTTACCTCTTGAACACAGCGACTTTCTATAGATATGTTAAATTACCAGAGGAATCCGGAGGATAGGGGGTAGTAACCCCGCAACGGAACATCGTAATGGGAAATTTTGGGAATTCATTATCATAAATAGTTTGCCCGGATACTGGTAGGTCCAAAAGCTGTTTGATTTTCCAGTATCAGGTTCGAGTTGTTTTTTATCAAGCTAGACATGAAATAATATTGACCCAACCAGCAAAAAATGCATCTAAGCTTGGCAGTGGGGGGATGAGCCTCCACAACAGTTAGATTTTGATGCAAACAGCGGTGTAGCCGCGGTGAAGCTATAGCTGTTTTAAGATGTTTTAAGGGTTCACCCATGTTCGCCATCTATTCGCAAGCCGCAATCGGAGATGGACGAGTTGGACGTCTGAACATGACCATGGCGGGAAAAACAACACATCATACTGCCGTCCTGGAAATAAATAACTACTGTATGTTTTAATGGGAGGTTTCAGAAATACAGCATACTGCCATCATACTGCCATCATACTGCCATCATACTGCCATCTTTTTTTTTGGGGGGGGGAGGTTTCTGAAATATAGCATGGTCTAAGAACTTGGGTGCTTCGAGGGCCAGCAAGGATCGTAAACTGGCCGTGTGTTTTGGCTACGGCTGATGATGGGAGACCTGGGCAGGCACCTGATGACACATGTCAAGGTCCAAAGCAGAGGGAAGCTGCCAGTGACTCGAAGACAGGAGCTACAAGGTGGTGCCCCCGGTCGATAGCTAAGTTGGTTTATAACTCCAATAACTATGGTTTATGGCACTTATAACTATAGTTAATGGGGATTGTAAACCAACTTATAACTTGGGAACTTGGGAGCACCACCTTGTATCACCTCGCCATGTTGCGGCAAATGGCAGCACAAAAGCGAGAGGCCGATGCTTGTTGACCTCTTTGTCATCCAAGCTTCAAAAGGATTCCTTTTTGTTGGATGAATTTAAAAGCTAGGATATGAGTCATGAGACTGAAAAAAAACAATCACCACTTCACCATAGAGACTGGAGCCATCCTCACAGAACCCCTAGCTGCCCTAGTTAGTTGTACACACTAATTATAAATCCCACAATGTCTGCTGGTGAGATCGTTTTTTTTTCCTCGTAACAACTCAATAAACTTACTGCTTCAATCTTTACTTGACCATCCCTCATTATGTAATGATCCTGAACAGTGGGCCAATATTCCTACATATTCCTACTCAATGACTATAACTATATAGAACTATATATGCTATATACATGCGTGAACTAAGGAAGGCTACTAACCAACTACAATCCTTTGGGAGACCCTCCCAAACGACGCTTCTTAGATCCTCATCGTATGTTTGTTCATTGTTGCTGGTTCTACCATCATTATGATCAAGATATTAAAAAAGGTTTTTTTTCATAAATGGAGGATCCCCAAAATGGCTGGTTTATAGTGCAAGTTCCTATTCAAAGGGATGATTTAAGGCTCCATTTCAGGAAACCTCCATTTTTTTTTAACAATCCGATTTTGATTTGTGCAAAAAGACCAATTGTTGTTGCAACACTCCCACACCCACACGCTGGACCCGTAGTCTGGTGTTTATTCATCAGTTGCTGAAACGGACTGGATCTTTTCCCATTGGTTTATCCTCCGGAACTGGGGAATGTACTTGGAATATGTCGTTCCGGTGGCACCTGGCACCCTTTGTCGCAAATCCAAGCTATGGAAAATGGTCCATGTTTAGAGGATGTATGCTGATTTACCAACTGAAAATGGTAATTTTCCATAGCTGCGTTAAATAACCAAACGGTATTCATGAATGAACAGTTGTTCCTTCGGATTGCTTTAAGAAGTACGGGAGGTCAAGGGAGCAACGGAAACCTCCATATTTGATGGGAGAAAAAAACGAAACATAATTCCAACACGTTGCAATCCTGCATTCCCAACTAAAGACGACGCAATTGAAAAACCATCAAAATCATTATATAAACTACTCTAATATGTTTGTTTTTTTGTGTTGTATACTTAAATATGATGTTTTATTCAACCCCTTTAATCCAAGGTTGTGTCTTGAATAAGTCCCCTTTACTGAACCATCCAAGTGTTTCGTGGTGTCCCATCGAACCAAGTGGATCCCAAGTGTTGAGCATCGGCATTGAACATCAGTCATTAAATCCTAATCTTTCCCGGTGTCCCACTAAATCACCATTCTTTCGTGTAAATTTCAAGCAAATCACCAGTTTTCTTGCTTAAATCCATTCAAATCCCATGAAATCACCATTTTTCTTGGTGATTTCTTGGCAAAATCCAATAAACCCTAGTGCTCCAGTCATACCATCAATTCGAAGGTGTTTATAACCCAAGTTAAACAACTCCATCCATACAGTCTCAGTGTCGGTGTTTGGAGCTGTAGGGAAACACACCATTTTTCTTGGTAACTTGGTAAAATCCCATGAAACCCCAACCCCGAGAGAAACGTAGCCCTCGGATCGCAGGTGCAGCACTTGTCGTGCTAGGAGAGTTGCTCCAACAGCCTCTGCGGAACCTCGAGAGGCGGTTTGTTTGTTTTTAAAAGGCCAAAAAATGGTCATAGAATGGTGTTTTTTTATGAATTATACTTATACCTATTATACCGATTAACGAAGAATGATCATTAATAGGTATAATTCATTATGGTGATTTTTTATGATATGGAATTATAGTGAATTATACCTATTAATGTGGGGAAAACAATAATACACATTAATACGCTATATCCCATGATATTGGAGAAATCAGAATTTTACATGAGCTCATTATCGGATCTAAATGGTGGTCTACTGGTGATTTAAGGAACTAAGTTATGATGGTTTCATGGAAATCTAATGGGATTTAACTATGAAACATTGCGACTCAATGGGATTTTGGTGAACTTATTTTGGATTTCATTGGATTTTAGTGGGATTTAACAGGGTTTAATTGGGATCTAAGTGGATTTTCATGGGATTTAATAGGATATTAGTCAAGAATGATTGTGATTTACTTGGATTGAATCAACAACAATCTGATTTCATTTGGTTTTAACCAAGAATTCATCATGGTTTACTTGAATTTATCAACCACATATGGTGATAGAATGGAATAAATATGAATAAATACCTTCGGGGTAAACCTACAACAAGATGTTGATTTTCTCAACGGTTTCCCGGTTTGCCATCCTCAGACATGGAGGTGATCGAGTGATCCAAGGGCAGGATTTGACCCGAAAAAAGATGAAGAAATCGAGTGATTCCACAACTAGCAACGGGGGAATTCATATCCCAGATGCTCCATGTACGGAATATTTACCTACATCACTGGGTCATTTTTGGGGTAAATGTAGCTAAATATGCCATACATGGAGCATTTGGGTCTTGGGTTTATGCTACCTGTAAGTTGGTTTGTAATAAGTCCAATGGATAGGACCATTGGGGTTTACTATATATATGAAAAATAAGGGGAAATGAGGAAAAAACAACAATACAACATACATGTCCATTTGTGGTTGGCTTAGTATAGGGTTGGTTTGTCACTACATGGGGTCATAAAACAACTTATAACTAGGGGCCCTTCTGTAGAATTGAGGTGGATTAGAAATCATTTGGTTACCAAAAGATCATCATGTTTCATAATGTTTTGGTGCGTGCACCTGCCTTGAACAAAAAAACAACAAAATGTTGCGCAAACTCCAGGAATCAACGGTCCTGTTTAGCGTGACAGAGACTGTGCAGAGGATGGCGAAACATGTGATCGTGATGCTGCTGGTCGCTCTCATGCGGTCCAAGCGTCTTTGATCTTGTCCAAAATCATCAAGCGTCGGTTTGAAACCGGCCCGGCATGATGGTGCGATCCGCAAAGCCATAAACATCCTCCTTAACCATTTGTGCACATTAGATTAGTTTCCATTTATAAATGATGTTCCCACTAAACTTCGATTTAGTTCGGGGATTTCCCATTGTCTTGTTTGATTGCCGGAGGGTATACCCAAGAACAAACCACTATTGAGGATAGTTTTTGGATGTTTATAGTATTTTGGATCCCACGTTAGAAACGGGATACTAAACCGGCAGCCACAACCGGCAGTTAGATTGGGAAGTACTTTGACCGGCCATGGTTCGACCGTTTGCAGGTGATCGTAGATGAACTAACCCAAAAAGAATAGCCAGTCATGTCTACAGAGTGAGACCCCCTGTTACAAGTTAGTTTACAACCCTGCATGACCAGTTGATACTAGTTCGATATCCCCCCTACAAGGTGGTGCCCCGCGAGTTATAAATTGGTATGTAATCCCATGGCAACTAGTTCGATATATTACCTATAAACCATAGTTATTGGAGTTATAAGCCAACTTAGCTATCTTGGGGGCACCACCTTGTATAAACCATATAATATCATATAATTAGCTATTGTCGTAGTTATGAAGTAACCTGGCTAGCCCCGGGGCCCCATATCATAGGGATATAACTCAATTGCAATCACCGTTGAATAAGTCCATTGCCCATGGAAATAGACAGTTTCCGTCATAAGAAAGGCGCTTTGACCTATTTCAGCAATGGCTGATACCCGTCGGTGGCATTTATGTGGGGTTTAGCAGCTTTTATGATAGAGAATTTGATGAAGTAACAATGGAGAGCGCAACAATGCCAACATCTTTGCTGTGCCAGTCGGGTCAGTCGGGTCAGTCGGGTCTGTCCCAAGGGTTACCGGGTTCCGGGTGCCGTTCCCCGGGTTTTCATAGGTCACAGGGTGGACCCAGTCAGCCGCCACGTCAAACCTGTTCATTGATTTGAAGAATTACCGAGACAGCACCCCCGGGTATCATTACGGCGGCCAAAGTGTTGATAGTCAATGAAGTGGATCCTCATGCAAGTGAAGTGGAAACCGATCACTTGCCTTCCCCTTGCCTGTCATTTTTAATCTAATCGGTTGTTTGAGAGGCTGATACGTCTACCCCTTTGTTTGGATATACTGTAAACTTTAAACGTTCCCATGAGCAAGTGGGTTGGCCACGCTTACAGGGTGAGGACCCCCAGTTATAAGTTGGTTATAGTTGGTTTATAATTTATAAACAATTATATAACTGCCGTTAACTAGTTATATCATATTATATCTTCCATTCATCAACCCAAACGTTGACCAAGTGATTTGTGTCAACATCTATCATTGAAATCAGCGATACCCTCTGGCAAACATACTAAAAACATCAAACAACTATGGAAAATCACCATGTTTAATGGGAAAATCCACTATAAATCACCATGTTCAATAGTTTTTTGTATGTTTACCAGAGAGAAAATCCCATGAATTCACCATTTGTCTGGTTGAAATTCACACTTTCCCCTGGTTTTTTCGACCTGCGACTCAGCTCGCGCCAGCGCTCGCAAGCCGCGCCAGGGCGCTGAAAGAGTCCTCCACCGGAAGACATATGAAGGGCCGCCTGGAGGTGGGTTCGGGGGATCAAAAAACACTGATCACTTTGGTGGTTTCAAACATTTTTTATTTTCCATGATATATGGTATAATCCTTCCCATTGACTAGTATTTTTCAAGATGGTTAAAACCACCAACCAGATCACTTTGGTGGTTTGGAACATATATTTTCCCATCAGCAATAGGGATTTTTTTGTTTTGGGTTAATGGGACTTAATATATCTTAATATGGACTTAATATGGACTTTCTGGTTGATGGGCATCTGGTTTTTGTAGCCATCAAACAATAGTGATTTACTGATAAAAAATAGTGATTTACTGGGTTTGAAACCACCAACCAGAGTCTAGTTTTCAAGAATTCTACTAGAAATGGGGAATCTATTGCTGGTTGGTGGTTTGGAACACATCAATGGATGGAAGGACAGTGCTGTTTTTCCATATGTTTATATATATATATGTATGTATATATATATATAACCTGGTTGGTGCTTTGGAAAACCAACTTAATCTGGTACTATCATTGTTGGGGGGTAATGATGGTTAATGATTAATGATGGTTAATAGTGGTTAATCATGGTTAATAATGGTTAATAATCACTGGTTGGTGATTTGGAACATGTTCTATTTATCATTAAATCATCGTTGGTTACCCTCTGGTAATGACTAACATAGCTATGGACAATGGCCCATTTATAGTGGATTTACCCATTGAAAATTGTGATTTTCCATATATATATAACCTGGTTGGTGATTTGGAACATGTTTTTATTTTTCCATAATATATGGGATGTCATCCTTCACATTGAGAACTCATATTTTTCAAGATGGTTAAAACCACCAATTAGCCAATTAGTTATGAAAGCAACAAATTTGATCGGTAAATAACCATGGTATAAAACTATAAACTGAAATGATAAACCATAATCTATGTTAGCAAATGATAAATTATATGATCCAATGAATAACCATCATTATTACAATGTGGGGCCCCCCAGTGATGTGAACGATGGTTTATAAACCCCATGAATACTATAGTTATAAGTACCATAATTCATAGTTATTGGAGTTATAAACCAACTTAGCTATCTTGGGGGCCCCACAATGTAAACCTGTAAACCTTGGAAAAACCGGGGGAATAGGAAACACATTGGCAAAACTATAATGGTTTCATATATGGTTTCCATGGATTTTCTGGTTAAGATATTTCCCGAAATCATCGATGAGTAGCCGTTAAGTTGCAGTGTCACCGTGAATCCTAACTGTCATAACTGATGTGTCAGGAGTTCCATAATCAATCAGAACATAACATGGACAAAACTGATTAATTATGGAACATTGCAGCTGTGTGATCTAACTGTTGCGTTTCAGCCGGATACTGTTGACTAATGGTGAAGATACGGAGGGAATTTCATGCAAAATGGGATGTTCTTCAAACCATCAAGGTTTTTTGTTGATAATCACATGTTTCATTGTGGAAGTCGTCAAACGTGGGCTCAGACAAACATAATATGATGATATGATGGTTACTATAGATGTACTGTAGATGTTGTATGTTGATAGATCCATGTTGGAGCTGTTTTTGCTTTTCCCCATCAGTTGATTGACCACAAACATGTCCATTTTGGTTTGGCCGGTTTGGCCCCTTGTGAGTTGGTCAAGAGATGGTAAACCCAATGCCAAAAAAACATCCCAAAACACATGTTTTTCAATGGCTGGGATTGTTTACCATTCCCCTTTTGGTTGGTAGGTTTATGGCATTGGGAAACTTCCACATCAGGTATCTTCGAATCCACAGGCCATCATGTTCCCTATTAAAATGGACATATCTTGTGGATGGCAGAAATCCTGCACCACCTTGGATGGTTGAAACCCTATAAATAATGGGATAACCAGCTTATCAACTGGTGCAGGATTTCTTCCATCCACTGTATGTTGTGGTATAACCTAGCCACATATTTCAGACAAAGCCACTCGACAATCATTATCCTTGATAATTAGGTCCCTTCAAATATCAGTAAACTTAGGATTACTATAGTTATAAGTTATAGATATCATAAACCATACTTATTGGAATTATAAACCAGCTTAGTTAGTTGCTATCTTGGGGGCCCCACATTGCAGGAACAGAAACGCCTTATTGGTTTGGGGAGGTACCTTTGGCAGTGTGATTTCCATGAGAACAAGAGGTTCATTTCCACTGATGTATAGCAAATTCCTGGGTAGATACAGCGGAAATTGGACACATTGAAATGGTGAGTTAAACACCGTCAGCTTCAATGCCTCAAATCTGTGGTTCAATGCCCATGGTTCATGGTTGTTTCTCTCTTACAATTTGACATGAAACTCACACATGAACATTTCCAATGTGAACTCATGTTCCAAACACAGATTAAGTTGGTTCTATGTTAACTTTCGCTTAAGTAGCTATGCCTATCAATACAGAGCGGCTAATGACATATAACTGGGGGGGCAAATTGTGTATGTTAATCATTACAACTACAACTGGTGATTATCAATAGTTAGTCCTTGCAACTGGTGTACTGGAACATTTAATTAATGATTATAACTAGCATCAGCCAACCATAGATATATACTCTATTAGATATAATCCATTAGATATAATGATATAATCCATTACATTATCCATTATAAACTATATATAATCCAGAAATCCGTCCACAAATCATAGGGATTCATCCATACATTTACAAATCTTATAACATATTAGATTTTATAACCAGCAAAAAGATAGAACTTTTTTTGTGGACGTTTAAAAAAAAAACATGTTTTTTTCCCCACCTGCCAGGTGAGGGTTGTTAGATTTTATGTCAGTTGCCTCCTCCTCCTCCTCCTCCGCCTCCTCCTGCCTCGTCCTCCTCTCCTCCTCCTTCTCGTCCTCCTCGTCGTCCTCGTCGTCCTCGTCGTCCTTGCTCAACTGCGACCCGCGATCCACAGTGTTCTCTGCCGGACCTCAACCACGACCACCCACGCCCAGTGTTCCCTGCCGGACCTCAACCACGACCATCCACGCCCAGTGTTCCCCGCCGGACCTCAACCACGACCATCCACGCCCAGTGTTCCCTGCCGGACCTCAACCACGACCATCCACGCCCAGTGTTCCCTGCCGGACCTCAACCGCGAGTATCCACGCCAAGTGTTCCCTGACGGACCTCATGTAGGAAGATATGGGACAAAGAATGTGCAGAAGAAAGTTAGAAAGAATGTCAGAAAGAATGTCAGAAGATATGCCAGAAGATATGCCAGAAGATATGCCAGATAGAATGCCAGATAATATGCCACAAGATATGCCAGATAGAATGCCAGAAGATTTGCCAGATAGAATGCCAGAAAATATGCCAGAAGATATGCCAGATAGATATGTCAGAAGATATGCCAGATAGATATGTCAGAAGATATGCCAGAAGATATGCCAGAAGATATGCCAGAAGATATGTCAGAATATATGCCAGAAGATATGTCAGATAGAATGCCAGAAGATATGTCAGAATATATGCCAGAAGATATGCCAGATAGAATGCCAGATTGAATGCCAAAAGATATGTCAGATAGAGTGCCAGAAGATATGCCAGATAGAATGCCAGAAGATTTGCCAGATAGAATGCCAGAAGATATGCCAGATAGAATGCCAGAAGATATGCCAGATAGAATGTCAAATAGAATGTCAGAAGATATGTCAGATAGAATGCCAGAAGATTTGCCAGTAAGAAAATGTATAAATGTCATGGTGGGGATCACACGAAGTAAAGTAATTTTTTTTAAACTAACAGCCTGACTAACCCCTGGCCCATCGAAATCCCATGTGCGCAGGAAGAGACCTTCGTCAGCGGAAACATCGTCCTGCTGGTCTTGTTGGGTCCCTCCGTCCGGGGCCCAGCTGGGGCCCAGCTGGGGCCCGATCCGTTGATTTCATGGGTGATTTCCATGGGGATTTATAGCTGATTTATGATAGCGTTCAGTTGGTGAAACTCCAATAACTAAGACTTATGGTAGATATATCGAACTAGTTAATGGGATTATAAAATGTATCATAAATCAACTTATAACTAGGGGGGCATCAAATTGTAGGATCCGTATTTGCTTCGTAAACGTCACCATGTTATAAACACGTTAGTATCCTGTTAGAGTTGGCTTAACATCTTGCTTAGAAATAGGTTTTGATCTCGAAATAGAATGGGTTATGATTTGGTTTTGTAAGCTCATGTTTCACAGTTTCATGGCATTTTTGTTGTGTTTTATTCTGTGGTTGTTTTTTTGTAGTCACTGTTGCCGTGTAGTCACGGCTATGTATAAGTCTCGTGTGTCGCAACTGGATTGGATAGATAGATTGATAGATAGATAGATAGAGTGTTATATATATACATATATATGTATATGTGTGTTGTATTATATCTATATGTTGTGTTTGTGTAGTATCGTTAAATAGGGCTTGTTTGAAAATAGGGCACCCTTTAGAATCTGCCTATGTTTTTCGATGGAATCGATCCAATATGATGATCCTGGGAGAGACAAGGACCCCAGGCCGATTTCGAAGATGTGATACACTGTGGTGCTCCCAAGATAGCTAAGTTGGTTTATAACTTTAATAAGTAGGACTTATGGTAGATATATCTACAGTTAATGGGATTATATATCAACTTATAACTAGGGGGCACCACCTTGCATAACCCGCAGTCACGTGACCCCAGAAATACCCTCTGGTAAACATACAAAAACTATTGAAAATGGCCCAGTCGAAATAGTTGATTTACCCATTAATATCATGGTGATGTTCCAGTTCTTTATGTAAACGTTTACCAGAGGGTAGTGTTTGGGTTTATAGATGGGGCAAGTCTTGTATTATTACATATCTGGTTGGTGGTTTCAAACATTGTTTATTTTCTATAATATATGGGATACTCTTTCCCATTGACTAATATTTTTCAAGATGGTAAAAACCACCAACCAGATATCCACACAAACCATCTATTTGGAGTTTTACTTAGACAATTATATAGTTGAATCCCCATGTGTGGAAGCTGTGCATAAGGGCTCTGCCAGCGCGTCACCCCAATTTGCATGTTATTCCTGAGACTCTCCATTCCCAGAATATTTGATTTGGATATATATATATAGTATCATTCATTTTCTTTTCGGCGGGGAATGCCACATCACTTCATGATTTTCCCAGCATTGAAAGATCCATTGATTTTTGTTTGATGATTTTCCATCGTCAGGCTATGGGCACCATCTATGAGAACTGCAACTTGGCGCCATCAACAGTTCCGGCGCCAGCATCAACATAGAAAGGTGACTGGTTTTATCTGCAGTTATGGCCATTTATCAGTTATAACTGGTTATAAGTGGGATTATACATTCTATAAATGGGGTTATAAGTACTTATAACTGGTAAAGGGCCATAACTGTGGTTTTTAGGGGAAATCCAGAATCCGGTTGAGTTTTTGACCTGTTCAGTGACTTCAGTTCTGGTTGAAGCTGTGTTGGAACTGTTTTGACGAGCGGCGTTACCTCCACAGTTGCTGGTGCTAAGTTTTGTCCAGCGAAGTGTGAGATAAATCTGTCACAAGTCCAATATGTATATAAATATAAACGCAACCTTTACTTCCGAACTAATTTATACTTATATAGCCAAATCACTGGGCACCGCTTTGCAACATATTCCAAGGATATCCCCATTACTCATAGAATGGTTGGTTTTGTATCCCATGTTTGTTGGTGAACTCTGTGTCTCCAGTTTGCCAAGTTGTTTGGGGTTCCTATGCCCCTACATCCCAAACAATAGCCAAGCTACAAAGGTAGCGACCTGATGGTCCTCGCCAGCATTCTGGTGCCATTTCTCAGCCGGGAATGGGAAAGGCTGCGAATGGAATACCTGGGCTCTAAAATTTCTGCGGAAAGGTAGGATCTTCCCTATGGAAAATTGGTATTTCATCATATCAAGCCATGAAAAATGCGGATTTGAATGTTTTTTTTGTTCAAAAGGTAAGGTGGTTTAGAGCCACAATCACTGTTGGATTTATGGTTGATATTGAATGATATTGAATGATATTGAATGATATTGGATGATATTGAATGATATTGAATGATATTGATATATCTATAGATACAGATGGATGGGCGAAACAAACAAAAGTAGCCCGATTTATCACATGATTTATCATCATATTCCCTACCGTAATCGCAATTTTACATTATTTCTATCAGGCTATCGGCCATGCCGTATTACACACTTCTTGGGAGTTATGATAACCCCCGAATAAACATTGAAGCTGAAGTTTTCTTGTTCCCGGTCTTTAATCATGGCTATGTCCCCAAAGAAATAAGTCTTGCAACTCAAGCACCACCCCAGGAATGTGTACAATGTAAACAAATCACCCGTGTTTTCCCTAAACAATTGTTTTTGTTTGTTAATATCCTCCACGTTTTGCATTGTTTTGACACATTCATTTATTATTCAAATAAGATGTGTTTGACATCTCCCGAGTTTTGTGTCCCCTGAAAGGTGGGCTCCCCCAATGATGTTTGATGGCTTTTGGTTTCCCCGAAGATAGTTTTGTCATCACCACTAGGTCAATCTTAGATGGGTACTTTAATCCAAAATAGTCTTTTGGTATCTGGCTGGGAATATCTACGTTCACCAGCAAAGATTTTTTTTTGCAGGGTATCTAAGATTGGCAATAACCATGTTCGCCCACCCGTTCACCTAGCACACCTAGTATTGAAATAACCAACTTCTCGAACTGGGGCACCACTTGGCACTCAGTAGATCATCCATGGTAAATCCCTGGGAGACGTCACTTAACGGTTGGTGATGGTTGGTGACTGCTTATCCATTCCATGATATCCTCATCATATCCCTATTATAGCCCCAGCAAATGCTTACTCCAGTTTTCATGGTGAAATCCCATGAAATCAGATTGTTTGGGCTATGAAATCCCACAAAATAGCACCAGTTGTCCTTATTTCCCTTCCATATTTATCAAATTGTTGCTATATGTTTCCACCATGTATTCACATGTTGCGTTAGTTTTCCACATCTTTCCCATATTTTCATCCCGGATGTGCTGCAGTTATACCCTCAATTCGAAGGTGTAAACAGACCCCAGTCGTTCAACAACTCCCAGCAGCGAATGCAGTCACGTCGTGTCGGAAGAACTTGGAGCTGATCCGGGATAGGTTTTTCACCATTATTAAGTGCAGTATTCATTAGTTAGTATAACTATGGTTTAATATCTAACAGTGGTTTAATAACTATTGTTTTATAACTATGGTTTTATCACTATGGTTAGTTAGTTAATACCACTATACTATTAGCCACTAACTTATATCATTAGTTGGTATAACTATATGGTTATGTTCCAAACCACTATATACTAACTAATGATAGGTTATATAAGTTATATAGTATATGCTATTACTAACCACTAGTAACCACTATGCTTTTTGGTTTACCAAAGATTCGTCACCAAAAAGTTAGCCATTGATCGCCATGAACTCACCAGATCGCTATTGGGAATCATTATCCCAATTGACGAACTCCATCATTTTTCATGGTTAAAACGTGTTAAAACCACCAAACCATCAATTTTTCTTGATTTCAAATCTTCATATCTCCAGTTCCCGAGGGTTCCCAAGGTCCAAACATCTTTTTCGTCCAGGTTTCAGATCCCCCGCTCTCCATCGCCCAGGTGCTGGGCGGCGCCACGATCCTCGCAGCGGCACGCTTGTGCCAGGCGATCAAAAAAAACAGCTTAGGGATCGTCCAATGGGAGCCACGAGAATTGGCGATTTCAGGGGATTTACTGGGGTTGAATGGTGATTTACTGGGATTGAATGGTGATTTACTGGGATTGAATGGTGATTTACTGGGATTGAATGGTGATTTACTGGGATTGAATGGTGATTTACTGGGATTGAATGGTGATTTACTGGGATTGAATGGTGATTTACTGATTTACTGGGATTGAATGGTGATTTACTGGGATTGAATGGTGATTTACTGGGATTGAATGGTGATTTACTGGGATTGAATGGTGATTTACTGGGATTGAATGGTGATTTACTGGGATTGAATGGTGATTTACTGGGATTGAATGGTGATTTACTGGGATTGAATGGTGATTTACTGGGATTGAATGGTGATTTACTGGGATTGAATGGTGATTTACTGGGAATGGTGATTTACTGGGATTGAATGGTGATTTACTGGGATTGAATGGTGATTTACTGGGATTGAATGGTGATTTACTGGGATTGAATGGTGATTTACTGGGACTGAATGGTGATTTACTGGGATTGAATGGTGATTTACTGGGATTGAATGGTGATTTACTGGGATTGAATGGTGATTTACTGGGATTGAATGGTGATTTACTGGGACTTAATGGTGATTTACTGGGATTGAATGGTGATTTACTGGGATTGAATGGTGATTTACTGGGATTGAATGGTGATTTACTGGGATTGAATGGTGATTTACTGGGACTTAATGGTGATTTACTGGGACTGAATGGTGATTTACTGGGATTGAATGGTGATTTACTGGGATTGAATGGTGATTTACTGGGACTTAATGGTGATTTAAAGGGACTTAATGGTGATTTACTGGGACTTAATGGTGATTTACTGGGACTTAATGGTGATTTAAAGGGATTGAATGATGATTTAATGGGATTGAATGGGTGATTTTAATGGGATTGAATGGTGATTTACTGGGATTGAATGGTGATTTACTGGGATTGAATGGTGATTTACTGGGACTTAATGGTGATTTAAAGGGACTTAATGGTGATTTACTGGGACTTAATGGTGATTTAAAGGGATTGAATGATGATTTAATGGGATTGAATGGTGATTTAATGGGATTGAATGGTGATTTAAAGGGACTTAAATGGTGATTTAAAGGGATTGAATGGTGATTTAAAGGGATTGAATGGTGATTTAAAGGGACTTAAATGGTGATTTAAAGGGATTGAATGGTGATTTACCGGGATTGAATGGTGATTTACTGGGACTTAATGGTGATTTAAAGGGACTTAATGGTGATTTACTGGGACTTAATGGTGATTTAAAGGGACTTAAATGGTGATTTAATGGGATTGAATGGTGATTTAAAGGGACTTAATGGTGATTTACTGGGACTTAAATGGTGATTTAAAGGGATTGAATGGTGATTTAAAGGGACTTAATGGTGATTTACTGGATTGAATGGTGATTTAAAGGGATTGAATGATGATTTAATGGGATTGAATGGTGATTTAAAGGGACTTAAATGGTGATTTAAAGGGATTGAATGGTGATTTAAAGGGACTTAATGGTGATTTACTGGGACTTAATGGTGATTTAAAGGGATTGAATGATGATTTAATGGGATTGAATGTTGATTTGATATATTGTTTGTTTTTTTAACCGTATTCTACGTAGGAAGTGGTTAATAACTAAGCAGGTACTACATAAGTGGGTCCTCCAAGTACCCATATACCATGAATATCTGGGTTTCATGGTCGAAGTTTGTTGCATCAGGCCTGGAGAATCTGCAACGATCCATTTTCCAATGCCGTTGCCGACAGAGATAGCTGCTGCAGTTGCAGCTTTCAAGATCGAGGACAATGGAGTCCCGGTTAATGTGAGGGACAAGTACAAGTTTTAGTTGCTTTGTCGGCGTTTTTGCACTTCAAAAAATTAAGAGTGAAAGCTCTTCGACGATCTCGTCAAAGTACGAGGGGATCAGGGTGGCCAGCATAACGGGGCTAGATAGAGAGACGTCCGAGAGCCGGGCACCACTAGCACACTGGGAGAGACAGACAAAAGATGGGAATACTAGCCATTGGGGCTGTATTACAACCTTGGATGTTGCCAGACTTTGCGATTTGTTCACCAACAATCTCTCAAACACAAACCAGTATTGTTTCTTTCTGTAAGAAACTTTCATGATCCTCATCTTCCACCGATTGCCCATTGGTGTGTACAAAATGAAATCGCCACGCAAGGCAGTATTTTGGACGGGACATTGCGATCCCTTGGCCTTATATACATAGGCCTTCCTTGAGCCTTCCATAGAATGGCTCTCTCCAGTTGAGCTTTCACAAATTGTTAAGAAAAGTTTTCAATTTTGCATGAATAACATAATAATATCATGCATTATGTATGTATACAAGTATATAATCATCCTGAAGTAGAACGAATATGCAATTTTCAAAGAATTTTCCAGGTTTGGGGATGAGTTTTTAAACCACACCCGGCGAAAGATTTGGGTCCCCATGTGCCCACCAAAAGCATTGGTTGATTCCCAGTACCTCAAGGTGGTGCCTTAGAGTGCCATAGCTAAGTTGCTTGAAATCGCGTGATGGTGGACAGGTTTTTTTCTGGTTATATCTATGACTATCACTTCGTATACTTAGTGGGGTAAACCCACTTGTAGACCGGGGGGTCACCACCTTGTAGGTTGTTGCTGGTAAAGTTCCACTTGCCTGTCGAACCCGCATGTTACCCTCTGGTAAACTAGCATAACTATGGAAGATCACCATGGTTAATGGGAAAATTCATTATAAATTGCCGTTTTCAATAGCTATATTGTTTTTTTTACCAGAGGGTATGTTGAGCTTCTTGATTTCCAACTTTCTGTTGATTAGATAATAAGCAATCGGAATCATGCTTTGCTGGTTTAACCATATGGGAAGACTGGGAATACTTTGAATTCAAACATCCAGCTTTTATGCAACACAACATTGGGTGTGGACCCCCCTTCTATTCCCAGATGTTTGGGGATATCACCTACTTTGCACCCATGTAACTGAAGTTAAAGCAATCATGAGATCATGAGGGGGCAAACCAACCACAAACGCCACTTAAAATGGCCACATGTTCAATATAAACCATACTTGGAAGATATGGAGGTTTCCTCAAATCGGGCTACCCCCTGTTTTTTCATGTTTTTAAGACGTTTTTCCATGAAATAAACCATCTAGCGATAAAGGGGTACCCCCATCACCATGGCCATGTTGGGGTAGTTTAGATATATGGCCACTGAAAAAATATGACAAAAATGCTCGTTAACAGAAATAGCACCTCATTTATGGCCCTGATCTATTATGATATATTATGATATATATATATATATAATTATATATATATATATATTGCTGTTATGACTGACTGGGATACCTTTTTATACCACCTGATTGCTGGGAACAAAAACGACCAGGCGTGGACACCCACTCGTCACTTGGGTACCATTCTCCAGGCAGGGTTTGTTGGAGGACAGTTTCTTTAGTTTGAAGCAATAAACACCTGCAATGTGGGGCCCCGTTGACGATAGCTAAGTTGGTGAACATATCTCCAATAACAATGGTTTATATATGTTACTTATTATAGTCAATGGATGTGAATGAGGTTTACAAACCAATCTATCACTGGGATTTGACATGATTGACCAAGAAAGTGATGGCGTTGAAGCAGAAGAACATGAGAAGTTTATCAGCATCCATTGAGATTCAGCTAGCAGCTGCGGGGGTCGATGTTTGGATTTCCATAGTAAATGGACCATAGCAATGATTTCAGAGTTAAACCATAGTAAACCATAGAAACAAATCCCATGGCTGACCATTAATTATCATGACTCATGATTAATTACCCACCAAGTGGTTTCTTGAGTCTTTGGCGGACCCAGATATGTCAGGAGTTGTTCATTTGGACTGGGACAGCAATGGTTTTGGGGCACCCAAAGTTTCAATCTCAACCTGTCTTAGAAAAGGAAATTCCGGAAAAAAATGACTTGGCTCAGCTGGAATCTCCCCGAACTAAATGGAAGTTCTAGCTGGGAAAAAGAAAATCAAGGAACATGTTGGGGTATGTTCCAGCACACCATATTTGATTCCCAGATGGTACTTGTTGGTGTCTAAACCATTCTAAACCCACCTAACATAATCACCATAGATCCATCCCTTAACCTAGTTTTCATCCAACTTAGATAATGTCTCGGGGCACCAGTTTGCAATACATGAAACCATCATGATATCTCCACCATATCACCAGAAAACATCCCTGTAAATTGTAGTATAACCCCGTATCCTAGCCATTAACTAACCACCATCATATCACATATATATATATAAACATATATATATATATCTATCCATATCATATATATATATATATACACCATCATTCTGACATTCTGCTAGTTTTAAATCTATTTCATCACCAATTTTTTTCGGGTAGTTGCCACACTTTTGTTTTTTCCCATGTCAGCGGTGTCATCTCCATCGGTGGTTCAGGCTCGTATCCTGAACACTTGGGAGAACTGGAGAACGCAGCCTGCAAGATCTGCTTTGGACACCTGGCGAGTTCACTGCGAGTTCGCGAGTTCGCTGGACAGGCTTTCTGAAAATGTGTTGGACTTAAGGGACTTAAGGGGATCCATATTATAAAGGGATTGAAAGGCTTGGATTTAAAAATAGGCAACAATATGTTGATGGTGATTTAAGATGGGATTGAATGAAATACAACAATAAGAAGAGTTAATGGAATCTATCTGAGAAACATTGTGATTTATGAGATTAAAACACGAGAATTAAAAGGGTTTAATGGATTTCAGATAAAACAAATGATTTGATGGAATTTAATGAAAAACGAAAATACGAGATGTAATCTATGAAAAAACATGTTGATTTGACGGGATTGAATTAACAAACACAAGAATGGTGGTTAATGGAAATTATCTGGAACAACATGTTGATTTGAGTTGAATTAAATGGATTTAATAGCATTTTGTGTGATTTCATGCCACAGGCACATTGTCGATGAACTGGATTTAAATCAACCGAAATGGGTGAATAAAAAATATCATTGCAAGAATAATCAGGATAATCACCAGCAATATTTTATATACCCTCTGGTAAACTAACATAACTATGGAAAATCACATTTTTTACTGGGAAAACTCACTATTTCTATGGCCATTTTCCATGGCTATGTAACAAATTACCAGAGGGTAATGAAATATGTGAGTGTGTCTGCAGATCCAACGGAATGATCGAACAGTGGGAACATCCCCCGAACTACATGGGAGGTGTCGGAGGTGTTCATGGGAAAATCATCCATTCATGGATATTTCATAGCTAATGCACTCTGTGACTTCGATGTGTCCACCCTGGTGTCAAGTGTCCGGATCAGCCGTGAAGGTGGTACCCCCATTTTAGGAAACCCAAATTGGCCAGTTTCAACGCACCGGCTTTCGCATAAGTTTTCCAATGAGAGGTGCATGCATTTGAGCAGCCCGCCTCGCCTAATCAGACCGCGCGCAAGGATCCCTACATTTTTAGATGTTGATCGTCGCAGACCTAACGCATACTGCATATGGCTGCCCGAAGAAATACAACAGCGTCAAGTCTTGGGTGCGCCGTGTTCGACCTCTCACAGCTTTTTGCATGTTTTCGATATATGATGATATAATATGATATATATGCAATGCTTTGGTCCCCTGAATTCGTATGATTTGCGCTGTTGTTCTATTTTTTTAATTTCGTTGAGGTTGTCATCGTGCTAACCTAGGAAAGCCAAACCCAAATTGACAAACATGTTCCAATGACATTTTCATGGTGGTGCCTGTGGGGCGCCGCAAAGTTGACCACGTTGCCTTCACAGTTGCATTGTATTTGACATGATTTGACCACATTATGTAATTCCGGCACCTTCATTATGCCTTCATTATGCCTTCATTTGATTTTTCGTGATATCTCAGCGTCTTTTCTTTGAAGAGACCGATGCATCTGCTGCACCCAGTGATGTGAATTGCAGGTTGCTGGGCGCCTCTGCAGCTTTTTCATTTTCCAGGTCGCTGAGCAAACGGGCCGAGGAATGCAGGGCCGCCAAATGGTATTAAAAGGGTGTGAAGCGATGGAGCTCCAGAGATGGCAGTGGCTGCTCTGCAAGTTCCAGGATACAGTGGCAACGCTTGCTCCAAAGGCTGGAAGAGCTAAGGGAGGAACTCCGAGCTGAGGCGGCGTGTGAAAACGGGCAGCATTGCGCCGCTGCTGGCGGTTGTGTGGGACTGTGGAACAGGTTGTGGCCATATTATAGGTATCATTTTCTGTTTTTTCCTTGGTAGATTCACTTCAGACATCAAGCAGCTCGTCTCGCTTCCGTTTTGGTGGCGTTGTTCTGCCCATGCTCCTGTCTCTTTCAAGTTTTGTTCCTTTCCAGAGATATGTTTCACCTTGTTTCCGCGCGCCCAAATGCATATCCCAGACACTTAAATTTCATACCTTCCCCCTGGGCCTCAAGTGTTTTTATTCAACTCAGAAAATACAAAATTTCACCGACCCTTAGGCAACCTTAACCAGCTCTAACTGACCCTTAACCAGCCTTAACCAGCCTTGACCAACCTTAACCAACCTTAGCCAACTTTGAAACTGCCTAACCAACCTTGCATAACCGTAACCATCCGTAACCCATGTTAACCAACCTTATTCAACCTTCAAGTCCTCAACCAACTTGAACAAACCACTGTCATGTCCCACCCAACCTGTCCAAACCAGCAGCGTAAAATACCCCAACATATGAAGGGATATTTCACTTGGTAGCATTTAAGTAGTGGTCCTAGTGAATATAAAATTACTTTACTTCGAGTTATCCCCACCATGACATCTATACGTTTTGTTACTGGCAAATCTTCTGACATTCTATCTGACATATCTTCTGGCATTTTATCTGGCATATCTTCTGGCATTCTATCTGACATTCTATCTGGCATACCTTCTGGCATTCTATCTGGCATATCTTCTGGCATTCTATCTGGCAAACATTCTGGCACTTTATTTGGCATATCTTCTGGCATTCTTTCTGACATTCTATCTGGCGTTCTATCTGGCATATCTTCTGGCATTCTATCTGGCCGTTGAGGTCCAGCGGTGCTCACTGAGCTCGGAGGGTCCCAGGTTGAGGCCCAGCGGTGCTCACTGAGCTCGGAGGGTCCCAGGTTGAGGTCCAGCGGTGCTCACTGAGCTCGCAGGGTCCCAGGTTGAGGTCCAGCGGTGCTCACTGAGCTCGGAGGGTCCCAGGTTGAGGTCCAGCGGTGCTCACTGAGCTCGGACGGTCCCAGGTTGAGGTCCAGCGGTGCCCAGCGCGCTCAGACCCTTTGCAGTTGAGGTCCAGCAGCGCCCTCTGCGTGCGGAAGTTGGCGCAGAGCTTGGCGAGGAGTTGGCAAGGCGGAAGTGAACATGGGAGTGGATGCAAAGGTGGTGGAGGAGAAGCTGGAGGAGAGGGAGGAGGAGGAGAAGGAGGAGGTGGAGGATGAGGAGGCGGAGGAGGAGAACAACTGTGATAAAATCTAACAACCCTCACCTGGCAGGTGGGGAATTCCCATTACAATACAATGAATTTGGATCACCAGTTTCCCCGAACTCACACCTCGAACTGCGATGCGAAACACCAAGGAATCGACATTTTTCACAGCTGTGGTCATGGGAGTTTATGAACTCCACGGCCGGGGGGCTCGGAGCCGCAAGAATCGCCTCGGTGAATGGTTGAGATAGTGACATGTATAACTCTAGTTGATGGGGTTATAAATCAATTTATAGGGGTGTCCCACATTCTACAAGGGGCCCCCGTTCGATAACTTTCAGTTGCCTTATAAGTGGTTTCACTATGGTTTATAGTAGATATAACTGTAGTTAATGGGGTTTATAGATCAATTAACATCACTGGGGGGCACCACCTTGTAGGAAAAACATTTTTCTGAACCATGCGGGGTCCCCACGAAAAATCATCCAAGTTTTTGGGCGTTTTTTTTATTCATGGAGAAATCCAATTTGAAAGACACCGACTGCGACGGGGAGAGAGCGGGATATACCTCAGGTGCGAAAACATTTGTTATTTTTTGGATCATCCATGATCATCCAAGTAGGATCTGATGGTTGGTGGAATAGGTGAAAAATGAGTAACAAAAATTGGTGGTAAACTTATGGAAATCATACATCATAGGTGCAATGTAACCACTAAGTGGTCAACCAGTGTAAGAATGAAAATCATGTTGATAAAAACAACAAAAACGCAAAGGTATAGTCAGTATAGTCCTTAGACAAAGAAACATGTGAATAGTTGACCAAACATGGCAGATCTCGACATTTGGGAACATGAAAAATATGCGTGTTGGATCCCATGTTAGGCAATGAACTGGCAGAACGTGGTGGACATTAGCGGGATCCGGTTTTGTTGATTGTTTCTTTTACGGAAAATGTTTTTTAAACAGTACTGAGGTTTTTTCCCACTGGTACATCGATTGCCCGGCATTGATTTTGCAAATTGGGGTCCGGATTCAGTGAAAATGTGAACTTTGTAAACTTGGTGAAAATTGGCACTTGAACCCCAACTGAGTCGCTGTTGCTCAATGCGTTGGACGCGTCAGTGATTTACCTGGATGAATCAAGGAATACAAATGGGAGAATTCAATATCAAGGCAAATCAAGGCATGTGTAAAAAACAACGTGTATTGATTAGGGATCTATAGGATATTATAGTTATTTTATCGATATGTAGAATACAAAATCAGTATGTTCACATTTTTAACTTGTAGAATACTGGGGATACTGGGTAAGTTTGGGTTCTTAATATTCTGACTTAGTAAATGTGAAGTGCTGTGGCAAAGCCAAGCCACTGCATAGCAGACTTGGAGCTGAAACGGCCATTTTTAAGATGAGGGTGCAAGCGCGGGTTCGATAACCACAGGTATGACAACAAACAATAAAAGATAACGATATGGAAGAATGTGTAGTGGGCATGCCCTCAATGTAGGTACGTTATTGTAAGCATCACATAGCATCACCCAGGTGTATGAGGGTATTACAATTCCATAAAAGTATGCCCTTCTACATTCAGCCCCTCATGGCATTGGTTCTACCATGGTTATTTTTCCACAATTGTAGTAAACTATTTTCTATGCCCAATTTCATAATATCCCATTCAATCCCTCAACAAAAACACATTATTTTCTACATGTTTTCCTACATGATCCATCATTACCCCACATCAAAAACCAGTGGTTCCACCAATGCTTCATCTCCCGTTCGACACTTGGTGAGGTGATCCTTTGTTTGCCTTACAGACAGGCGCACGGTTCGACGTGACGACGACATTAATAAGGGGGTTGTTGTCGCCTGAAAATCGGGCGTCAGAGGGGGCAATGTTCAAAAAAAACATCTTTAAAAGGGGTTATAAGATGTTATAAGTTATAACTATGTTATAACCTAGAACATCATCAACTTAGAACTTACGTGGGATGAACCCGCCAAGTTGGCCCAACAGTTTTTCGTCCGCTTTGGCCAACTGGTCCTGAAGGCTTTCTCTCCGGGATGTCCATCGTGATCGCGAACGACACTGGGCCGTTACGGTATTCGAATTGGTATATTGAGTGGATGTTTTTTTGATAATGTTTGGTTAGTAAAGGTTAATAGTGGTTAATAGCGGTTAGTAGTGGTTAGTAGTGGTTAATGTTACTATATATATATATATGTATATATGGTTGGTTGTTTCAAACATGAATTTTATTTTGCCATCACATATTGGGAATAATCCTTCCCATTGACTTTCATATTTTTCAAGATGGTTAAGACCACCAACCAGTTAATAATGTTACTATCTATATATGTATATATGTATATCACATATCATATTCCAGTGATTAATTCATGATTCATTAATGTATTTGAAAATCCATCAATGTATCGGTATGTTGATCATTTTAATGATCATTAATGGGTGTGAACTTTAATGGATCGTTGATGAATGGATCATTAATGTATTATTCAATGGATAAGAACGAACTTCGCTGGATATTTACCAGCATTTAATGATCGAACTACGGTTTGTGGGACCTATAACCCATATGCTCCATGTAACCATGTATAGTATATTTACCTACATTTGGCTCATTCATGGGGTAAATGGTCGTAGATATTCCATACATGGAGCATATGGGCAACAAAAGTATTCATGGGGCTTATCAGCCAACTACATATGATATATCCCCTCCAGTAAACCAACATAGCAAACTGGAAAATCACCAGTTTCAATAGGTTCAACTATTTGTTTCACCCAATTTCCACGTGGAAATGAATGGAACGTTCATGAAAAAACAATGAACGAACTTGAATGGAGATTCCGAATGGCGCTGGATTTACCCATAGACATTAGTATTTCTTACCGTCTTACCTCACAATTTGTAATTATTTTATTCATTTTTTGGGTACTTTGAGTGTCTTGGTATGGCTCAAAGTTACTGACCACCATGACGGAATGATGAAACCGTATACCCACGTCATGATTGTTGCTATAGTCCGTGGTCTGCCCTTTTCAAGCTTATCTACAGGATAGTGTATATCCTGATTTCTATACTCTGAAACAAACTAACATTTTACAATGTTGAATCCATGTTAAAATTCATGAGCGGGATAAGTGCCAGGTAGGTGCCATGTTGGTCTAGTTTCTAAGGGATGAATGCAGAAGTTTCCTGCACTGTGCTGCCCCCAAGTCATATATATATATATGTTGAAGTACCCTAGTAATTATATATATATATATATATATATCCACCATAAACAAACATATTTATATATATATATATGTAAAATTATACATATATATATATTCTATGTGATCATGCACAATTGTTGATGGTTAAGTCACCATCATCCCAGTATATACATCCACATAAAATGACGGATTGTAGATCCTAGTTCCATTTACAAAAATGATTCCCTACCCCAGATACATTTCCAGTAGGCTTCAAGAATCAAGCATGGCAGTTCACAGTCCTAAATACGGTTTTAGGGGGAACATGATCGAATGCAATGGCAGATTTTCCATTGCCAGTTTTGTTTACCAGAGGGTAGCATTAACATTGGGATCAGAACATCCACTTGCCAGGTATTCATTGGTGCTCACCAGGATACTAGACAACAATTTATGTGGACTAGGAATTAAATAAATAATATATATATATATACACATCTGTAAATGAATGTATGACAAGGATTAATACTATGTATATATATATATATTTCTAGGATTAAATATATATATATATATAGTAGGTATACATTTGAATGGTCATTGGATTGGTTTAAGGGGAACATCAAAACCGGAAACCTTTATCATTGGCACTAAAAACTATCAGATTCCTGTAGGATTTTCCCTTGAACCAATCCATTGATATATATATATATAAGGGTTTCTTAAAATGAGGGATCCCCGGTCGTCACCATGGGTTTCAATACTAAACCATGGTCGACTTTAGATGATTTGGGGTCAGGGGGCACCGTATCATCCCGATTTGCCGGGCCGATGCTGAGGAAGTCTTCGCGCATGGCATTAATTTCGATATCAAGGCGATGGATGGACTGTTCGTCCAAAACTTACTGGTGCGTTTTACGTAGGGAATGGATGGGTTGCTGGGGGTTGCTGGGATTAGTATAGCTATAGCCAGTGGATCATTCCCGAAATTCCCTACCAAGCACAAGTAAGAAAATGGGACTTTGAAGGTCCAGAAGACATAAAAATTGACCCTCCGGTCATCAAAGATCAAAGATGGTTTGTTGGAAAATCCCCGAACTAGAGAGGTTTGAGTGGGAAATTTATCCATAAAATGGTGGATTTTCCGTGCCAAGTTTCAGTACCGGAGGGCAACTAAAGATTGTGATTCATTAACACATCAAAAAATGGTTTTGAACATGAAAAACAATTGTTCTACATCATGGGATGTTTCTTCGAGGGGAATAAAAATTCGTGATTTCCTGGGATTCGCTCGACAAAAAGAGGAGTAGAAATTGTTTTTTCGCCAAGAAAAACATCATGGAGATGTGGTGGGATGTAATGGATTGCGCAGAAACGGTACATGTATCCCCGGTATTTCATGAAAGGGAATGTGATGGTTTTCACAGGTTCTAACCTGTTTTAACCGAATCAACTTGAGAGGTACTCTACTCTAGGCAAAAACCCCCAAAGACTTTCCTTTTCCGCTGGTTGAAACTGACATAATACGCAACATTTAAGTAGATACATTGTACATAACATAGGTATTTAATATCTTTCATAGCCAGAACTGGAAATTTAAACTTACGGATAGCCAACGCAACACATTCCTTTTCAGAGATGTCCATTTCCTGCTGGTCGAAAAAAAGGGTAGATTGGGATGGTCAATCAATCCATAGGGACTTATGCACCCACATCGTATGGTGGGGTCCCCAGTCGATAGCTAAGCTAGTGAACATAACTATAATAACTGTTGGGTTGATTAGTTATAGTTATTAGTGTATAGTGTTATAACATAGTATAATAACATATAACGATATACAATATAGTGTGTATATATATATATATCGAACTATCGAGCTAGTTACATGAGGTTATAAACCAACAAACATCACTCCAGAGGCTCCACTTTGTAAGGACTCCCATTGTGAGATGTCCATACCAAAGACTGGTGCTCGCTCGCTGCTGTCCTCAGGCAGACTCGCGCACAGAAGACATGAGCGTTCGTCCAGTGATTTTGGGCTATGTGAGCTTCATGATGTTGGCACCTCGTCAGCATATAAGTGATTTTGGGAGCTCCAAGGAGTTTTAAGGGGAAGTTGTTGGATAGGCTAGTCTTGGTTCATGGTCAATCTTGAAAACCAAGCCACATCAACAAAGCATCAGGATCGTTGCCTGCGAGAATGACCCATCGTCACAAGAGTTGTTATCATATTACCATCCAGTGAATTGACACTTCGACCCTGGCAGTTTTCGGGGTTCCACTAAACATGGGTTTTGTTCGGGCTCTGTGTTGATTTACCAGAGGGTAAATTGTATGAACAATAGATAATCTATATGTATCATATTTTGTACATATCCATTATCATCCCGGGGTATGTCAAGTTTGGAGAATGTCTATTTAAAGAACTATTATACTGTCATTGGCAGAATCTAACCACCAGGTCTGTCAAAGTGACAATCAAGTTGACAGGAAACAGGAAACTCAACTCTTATTTCCCAGTATCTCAAAGGACCACCCAATACACTCCCGGGTTTCTTACCATCCAGTGGCTTCCAGGGCTACCGGTTCACCAGGTGTGTGTCTACGCACAGGGCCACCAAGCCGTTAACAGCGCGGCGTTGTCGGTGATCATCAACAGCCTGTTGTGGGTCCGGGGCTGTCGGTGTGGCTGGGGTGGTGGGATTAAGGTGTTGCCTTTGGGTATTGCATGGGAAAGTCGATGTTGAACGGAAATCTAGTATATGTAGTATATAGATTATACATGAAGTTAAGGATGTGTTGTTTATTGTATGTTGAGGCATCTGGAGCATATCAAAGTGATAAGTGTGTTGTTGTTCAAATCACTGGCAAAAGGTAAAATAAATGCAACAAATCTGGACTTACTACGGCTGAGGCTGAGTATTTACTTTGCTCAAAAATTATATAGAGTCTACTTTAAGAACAAATCTTAACACAATCCCAGAGCCTTAAAAAGCCTTATGCCAACCAGTTCCAGTTCGGAGGAGGATCATGTTTCCTGATGAACAAGGATATCTTGTATGAGATTCAAACCATCAGCTCAGAGGTTCAAATCTCCCAGGTTCCAATCCCTGGTAGTTAGCATACCGTCAGCATGAAAAATGACCCATTGATAGTGATTTACCTGTCAAAAAATCCATGTGAATTTCCATAGCTATCTTAAATTCCAAGACTGAGGGTACATGAATCTTCTCCATGAAATTACACATGCCATGTGTGGCTTCCTGTTTTTTTAAGGCAGCTCAAGCTCCCGGATCAGGTGATGATCGGCCGATTCTCCGTGACCACGGGAATCTTCCGCGAACTAGGTCGGTGGACTTGGAAGCCGCTGGAGCTGCTCGTAGCTGGTAGAAAGCATCAAAACATTGCTGGTTTATTGCTACTGTATACCTTACTATGACTGGAGATGGGGACAGAACATGAAATAAGTTACATTGTATCCAATTGGTTTGGAAATTGAACATGAGTCATGTTTTCAGGTGTCCCTTTATGGTTCCTTCGATGTTGATTTTGGCGCGTGTTCTCCCCAAAAGGTGGATTTTTTTTCTATCCGTTGAGGGAACAAAAGCCATCCCTAAACTCCAATTACATGAATTACACTCTGATAATTTAACATAGCTATTGACAATGGCCATTTATAGTGGATTTACCCATTGAAAATGGTGATTTTCCATAGCTATGTAAACGTTTACCAGAGGGTACACTCTGACAAGGCGCAACAAGCCGTCCCTGAAAGAATCTCTGACTCGCATTCTGACTGGATTCTGACTCGCAGCATCCCCGCTACAAACTCCGGGTTTTGGCTTCGACCTGGCTGAGGCACAGTCATCAACAAGAGGTGGATGAATGGTGGGCGGCAATAATGGAAGTCCATGGGTTTCCGGAAACAGATCTACAATTGGTGATTTTCCCACATCTATTTTTTAGGAGAATCAAAGAATTATCAAAGGATATCACAGGTTTACCAGGTCAGACGGCAGCTGACTTTTTGTCTTGCAAGAGCAAGGGCTTTGCATGGACACGTTTTCAGATTCAGATTACAATGAAAGCGATCCCAAGAATAGGTTGGATGTTTTTTTCTTGGTTACATCACCATTTAAAAATACAATCCGGTATACTAAGGCACTAGCAGATAGAATATTATCCAGTGTTCAGAGATCGACGATTTTGCGGGTGAAACCTGGTTTGCAGGTGAGAATATTCTATCTGTTTAAGATGAGTAGCAAAATGTTGATTTCGCGTGTATATATATACACGAAATCGTTGATATTTCGAGCTTATAAATTATGGAAATATATCTCCAAATCTACATGGTTTTAAGCTGAAATATTCTATCTGTTGGATCCGTGTATATATTTATATATGGTTTTCTGCATTTTCAATGGTATATTTTATTCGATGAAGAATTAATATAAAAAAAATCAACAATTTCATATCAATATATTCATCAAAGAAGGGAACATCACTGGTATCATTGGTTTGTTGGAATATTCTATCTGTTGGTTTCATGTGTATATATATATATGTGTGTGTGTTTTGAACCTATGGGATAATGTTGTGTTTTATGCATGTCATTGTGGATCACATCATGCACGATGAGCGCAGTTCCAGCAACTTGCAGTGTTTTCCTAACCATCCCATAGCTATTCAATCATTTGAGGGATACAATATTGTGGAAAACATTGACACCAAATGCAACATTTTCCCGGCAATCCCATAGATAGTCAATGATTTCAGAAATATAACATCATGGAAAACGCTGAAACCAAATGCATCATTTTTTCTCAGCAACCCCATAGAGAATCAATGATTTCAGGGATACATCATTTTTGCAGGTGAGAATATTCTATCTCTTGGTTTGCTTCCTAAAAACATCAAAATCATATAGTTTCTTTCTTGTTTTGCTTATCATGAATATTCTATCTGTTGGATTTGCTGATAGCGTTTTGGCCTATTCTATCTGTTGTCCAGTGTTTTTTGAATATTCTATCTGCTGGTGACTTAGTATAGTGTTACATGAGTTATTGTAAATCACAAGTTTTTTCATCGGTAAATCATCTCTAGATGGGCAATTTTCCAGAGCTATGTTAAATTACCGGAGGGTACTCCAATTACCCATTATTCATCCATTATTGTTGGTCATTGGCCCAGTATCAACTTTGATTAGCCAGTATAAACCCTTACTAACCAGTCCAAACCATTATTTAACCAGATGGTCAATAATTTTCTGGCCTTTAGTTACTAACCATTACTAACCATTACTACCCCTGACTATGGCTAATTAACCATTACTAACAATTACTAACCATTAAATTACTATCCCATATTTTCCCATATTTTCCAAGACATGGATCTCCTAAAGGCCGGTTGCCATGCCATCATGACCATCATGACCATCATGACCTCCCTCTGAAGCCACTCGTAAGTCCCATGGTGGCGAGATGTCCTGGCCACTGGTTGGTTGCTTCATGGTTCATGAGGCTTCCCTCCATTCAGCAACTTTGGTAGACTACATATGGGGGACCCCAATAGCATCCAATAGCTGGATCGTTTATTTAATTATATTTAATTGAAAATCCCAATCCAAAATGGATGATAACTATGGGTGCCCCCATTTTAGGAAACCTCCATATAGATAGATTATAGTAAATAGTATGACAAAAAGTATGTACAGTATACCAAACAGGCCCTTCTTTGTTCCGAAAAAAGGACCATATGTGTCAACATTGTTTTCGGTCGGATCCGTCAAACTAGTGGAAAAGATCCGACAGAAAATTGTTGGTTAAAGATCCAACATAAATATATGTTTATAGTAATCTCCAAAAAGAATCAAAGGATAGAAATGTAAATGTCTACTAACATACAGTGAAGGCCCTTTACCAGTTATAAGTTATAGTTATAAGTACTAAAGAACCATTCTTAGAATGTATAATCCCATAGAAATAACCACTTATAACTAATAAATGTCTACTAACATACAGTGAATATCTATGTGAATTTTAGTGATAGATTATAAATGTCTTGTAACTCTGATTTATGGTACTTATAACTATAGTTACCCTCTGGTAATTTGACATAGCCATGGAAAATGGCCCATAGAAATAGATGGTTTACCTATTAACAATGTTGATTTTTCCATGGCTATGTTAAATAACCAGAAATGTAAATGTCTACAATGTGGGGCCAGTCGATAGCGTTCAGTTGGTGAACATAACTCCAATAACTATGATTTATGGTACTTATAACTGTATTCATGGGGGTTACAAATCAATTTATGACGTTTGGGGGCCCCACATGGCAGACGGTCCACGCCCACGCAGGGCGCTGGAAGCCTCGGAGAATTGGACCAAGTACCCGGCCCGCTCGGCGGGCGAATGCAGCGCCGCTTCGACCAGGGCTTCAGCGAGAGAATTTGTTTTGGGAGTTCTAGGGAGTTCTAGGGATTTCTAGGGAGATCTAGGGGTTTCTCTCGAGTTCTAGGGAGATCTGGAGATTTGTAAGGATTTCTAGGGATTTGTGGTATAAACCAAGAACATTATGAGATGTTTATGTGATTTTATTGAAAATGAGGATTCAAGGATTCCAATATGGGTGAAGCAAATGGATACAAATGGATGCAAAGGTTTCTTACACTAATCTTGTGTTATAACTGGGAATATCTATTTTTTTTTGTTGTGCGTAGGCCGTAGGCGGGTGGAGAACGAGGTTGACCCATATCGACGGTCATAAATGCTGGCGGAATAGCCGATAGGCACCATGCGGATGGTTGATCGTCATTTGTAGTTTATTCAATGTACCCTCTGGTAATGTATCATAAAGCTATGGAAGAATATGTGTTGATGTTTTTTATCCTGATTTACTGGTTGGTGGTTTGGAACATTAATTTTATTTTCCCCAATAGTTAGGATGATGATCCAATCTGACTTTCATATTTTTCAGGGGGTAGGTATACCACCAATTAGTTTACCCCATATGCTCCATGTATGGAATATTTACCAACATGTACCCCGAAAATGGCCCAAATGAAGGTTATTATACTATATATGGAGCATATGGGTATCAAACCATGGTGATTTTCCAGTTCGCTATGTCTACACATCGTTGACCGTGACATTTCCGGTATAGGACTGAGCAGATCGAGAGATTCGTTACGGTTACGGTTTCATCGTCGTTTGGATGTGTCAAACCTCAATCTGGTTGGTGGTTTCAAACATGTTTTTTCCCCATAATATATGGGGTAATGCCAACCCCATTGACGAACTCCTATTTTTCAAGATGGTCAGAACCACCAACCAGTCAATGTTTGATTTTCCGCTGATTGGTTAACAACATTGGGTTAGAAAGTATCAATATTGGTTTAATGTATCAACATTATACCAAGATTGGTACTGGTTTAATGTATCAACATTGTACCAAGATTGAGATTGGTTTACTGTATCAACATTATACCAAGATTGATATTGGTTTACTGTATCAACATTATACCAAGATTGAAATTGGTTTACTGTATCAACATTATACCAAGATTGAAATTGGTTTACTGTATCAACATTATACCAAGATTGATATGGGTTTACTGTATCAACATTATACCAAGATTGAAATTGGTTTACTGTATCAACATTATACCAAGATTGATATGGGTTTACTGTATCAACATTGTATCATTGGTTTAATGTATCATTGGGCTGCTGTATCAATATTGGTTGGAATTTTGGCTTGCACCTTGGCTCCAGGGGCACCCAGGGGCACCCGTTCGGGGCACCAGGGGCACAACGCCACGCAAGAGGCACAGATTGGTTGGTTGAAGGTTTGGCAGTTGGTCAATCCTACATGTAAAGTATACTGACAACGTTTACCAAACTTTACTATCTCAAGTATCAACTAGCTACAAATCATAAGATCATAAGTATAATTACAATCACCAGAAAGCCTAGCATGTTACTTATTAAACCAACTTGGCTAACTATGGGGGCACCATTATTCGATTACATCCCCATTATGTTCCCAATATCTCCCCGTTACGGTTGATTGCATACCATTAGAAATCATGACTTTTGTTGCGTAGACCACCATCAAATCATCACAAAATCATGACATCACCTTGCTTGTTGTTTTTTAGTCCCCGGAAAAAATCACCTGGCTCCTCGGAAAATTTTCAGCCCCCGGAAAAATCACCATTCATTCCCATATGCTCCATGGTGCAGGAATATGAATCCCAACATTTACCCCATAAGTGACCTATAGATGTAGGTAAATATACCAGCACCATGGAGCATATGGGATATAGGTCCCACAAACCATAGTTCGATCATTCCATGCTGGTAAATATCCAGCGAAGTTCGTTCATATCCATTGACTAATACATTAATGATCCATTAATTAATGACCCATTTAAGATCACATCCATTAAACAGTATTAACCACTATTAACCACTATTAACCACTATTAACCTTTACTAGCCAAACATTTTCTTGTGGTAAATCTCCATTTGAATCCCATGGCTATCGGCGAGCCGGCGTCTCTGAGGCCTGGCTTTGCGGACAGTATGTGGGCGGGGATGCAAAGACGGGCTAGGAGTGCTAGGGACTTGAGATTTTAGGGTATTTCCCAAGGGATTTTAAGGGAATTTTACCCCCTGGTTATTTAACATAGCCATGGAAAATGGCCTATTTATAGATGGTTTGCCTATGAAAAAAATGTGTTTTTTTCCATGGCTATGTTAAATAATCAGATGGTAATGGCATTTTAACGGGATTTTGGCGGGGATTTAATGGGATGTTACGGGATTTCATGTTTTTGTGGCTTTAATAAATATGCTTTAAGAATGGTGTTTAATGGGATTTTACTGGGACTGAATTGGATTGAATGGGATTCTAAGGAGGTTTCATGGGATGTTATAGAGTTTAATGGGCTTTAGTAGGATTGTACTCACCACAAGGAGGCTTTCACGGGACTTCCATTAATTACCATCAACCATAAAGACAACCATTCTACTTTGCCTGAACCATGTGTTGCCCCCGAGTTGGGTTTGTTGTTGGATAAATTATGATAAACCCAAGCTATATAATTATGCATATCTCTACCATCAACCCATTTGTATCTATAGTCAGATCTCACCAGTCCAACGGTAAAACCTCATCGATACATCAAGAAGCAGAACATGGGGACTCGATTGATGTTTTTCTGGGGTTTTCAGCCGCAAGATGGGGAAGTCAATGGAAGTGCAGTTCCAGTTATGTCTATAAACTATAAACTATAGGCGGATATACTTCCCACTATAAGTATAACTATAATATACACATATAGCTTTTTAGGGGCCCCATATCCCAACTTTCGGGACCGAGGCTATTGCTTGGACTCCACCTTGGCAGGTGCTTTGTCGCTTGGTCCAAAAAGCTGAAAGCAGCTCGCAGCCTGTGAAAATGTGGTTCTTTTACGACCAGCAAATCGGTGGAATTTTTAACCACCAATGTTTTTTTGACATACCCTCTGGTAATTTAACATAGCTATGGAAAATCACCAATTTTTATAGGAAAATCCACTATAAATGGCCATTTTCAACAGCTATGTTAGTTTACCAGGGGGTATTTGAGGTTTTCTCCGTTGAACTTGAGCACCGCAGATGGTTTAAGCACCAAGATAAAAGGATAGATTTGACGATGGTTGCTTAGTTGATCGGTTAAGGATTCTTAAATGGTATCAATCTACATGCCCTATACTTGGAAATTATGAACAGATTCAGTCAACAGGGACATCTAAGCAATCAGCTTGATGGGATTGATATTTGAATGAACGGGTTGCTAAGCAGCTGACTAACTGTATGGCACATCAAAGTAATGTCTGATTTTACCAGTGAGTTGGTTTCAAAAAATGAAGTTTTTTCCCCACCTGCCAGGTGAGGGTTGTTAGATTTTATGTCAGTTGCCTCCTCCTCCTCCTCCTTCTCCTCCTCCTCCTTCTCCTCCTCCTTCTCCTCCTCCTCCTCCGCCTCCTCCTGCCTCGTCCTCCTCTCCTCCTCCTTCTCGTCTTCCTCGTCGTCCTCGTCGTCCTCGTCGTCCTTGCTCAACTGCGACCCGCGATCCACAGTGTTCTCTGCCGGACCTCAACCACGACCATCCACGCCCAGTGTTCCCTGCCGGACCTCAACCACGACCATCCACGCCCAATGTTCCCTGCCGGACCTCAACCACGACCATCCTCGCCCAGTGTTCCCTGCCGGACCTCAACCACGACCATCCACGCCCAGTGTTCCCTGCCGGACCTCAACCGCGAGTATCCACGCCAAGTGTTCCCTGCCGGACCTCATGTAGGAAGATATGGGACAAAGAATGTCAGAAGATATGCCAGAAGATATGCCAGAAGAATGCCAGATATGCCAGAAGATATGCCAGATAGAATGCCAGATAGAATGCCAGAAGATTTGCCAGATAGAATGCCAGAAAGATATGCCAGAAGATATGCCAGAAGATATGCCAGAAGATATGCCAGAGATATGCCAGAAGATATGTCAGAATATATGCCAGAAGATATGTCAGATAGAATGCCAGAAGATATGTCAGAATATATGCCAGAAGATATGCCAGATAGAATGCCAGAAGATATGTCAGATAGAGTGCCAGAAGATATGCCAGATAGAATGCCAGAAGATTTGCCAGATAGAATGCCAGAAGATATGCCAGAAGATATGCCAGATCATATGCCAGAAGATATGCCAGATAGAATGTCAAATAGAATGTCAGAAGATATGTCAGATAGAATGCCAGAAGATTTGCCAGTAAGAAAATGTATAAATGTCATGGTGGGGATCACACGAAGTAAAGTAATTTGTTGTGAATACGATTCTTGTGCAGCTTTATATGTTTTTTTGGATCCCCCCTTTCTTTTAAGATCAGTAGTGGGCAGATGCCAGCAACCAGCTGTTTCCGATAAACTGGCTACCCTCGATGATTGCAACTCTTTCCGCTTGGTGGTTTTAGGAAAACTGATACGGAGGTTTCCTAAAGTAGGGGTACCCCAAATCATGCAAGTCATGA